GCGCAATTTTAATTCTGTTGACAACAAACATGTCAGATGATATTTTACAAAAGTTTTTGCGATTTGATTCTGCTAAAGATATGTGGGATGAGCTAGAGCGCACCTATGGAGGTACGTGTGTAGACAAGACATACAATTTATGCCTGAAATTCTTCAGTTACAAAAAGGACCCAGAACATGACATAATTACACATGTGTCAATTTTAAAGAATATTTGGAGCGAGCTATGTACGGAATTGCAGAGTGAAACAAAATTACCTGAAATTCTTTTAATATGCAAGATACTAGATACATTACCTCCAGAATATCTTGGTTTAAAGTCCAGTTGGCTGTTGATTTCAAAAATGGAAAGATCAGTTGAAAATCTGACAAGTCAATTGTGTGCACAAGAGAGAGTCCTGCGTCAAGACACAAATGTCACAGAGGAGACTAGTGCAGAAGCTTTGTATACAAAAACAAATAAGGGTAAGAAAAAGAAGAATTTTAACGAGCCTAAATGCAATTATTGCAAGGAAAAGGGACATAGAGTTAGAAATTGTAAGCGGTGGATCCAAGATGGAAGGCCGCCCAAGGAAACCAAGACCGCAAACACGAACCTGACTGTTATGACAATAGATTCGGCTGATTTTGGAGAAAGGAAAGATTTAGAGAATTGGTTCATTGATAATGGGGCTACCAATCATGTTACCAATCGAAATGATCTCTTTCAGACCTTCAAATATTTCAAGAGCCGTCATACAGTGACTGGCGCGAATGGCCAATATATTGAAGCCCTAGGCATCGGAAATATTCTTGCAGAGGCTGATGTAAACGGAAATGCAATACCGATACTACTGAAGAATGTCTGGTACGTACCCAGCATTAGCAGGAATTTATTTTCAGTACTTGCAACCCACGACATATCTGACAACAGTGTTTTTGAATCTACCACACTAAAATGTACACTAAAGATTGATGGACAGGTAAAGCTGATTGGCACCCGCAGCAAGTTTGGAGGACTCTTTAAAATTAATATAAGATGTCTGGAACCAACTGTACGAGTCAATCAGGTGTCCACAAACACAAATTTGTTACAGCTATATCATGAAAGATTTGGACATCAAAATAAAAGCCATGTGAAGAAGGTGATTGAAAATGAGTTTCATATAAAAGTACCAGTAACCAAGGAACTCTGTGAAGGTTGCATCTATGGCAAATCCCATAGACTTAAGTTTGGGATCCGAGAGAAAGCAACGAGACCTGGAGAACTTGTATATGCTGATGTTTGTGGACCCTTCCCATATTCTATCACAAAGTTGCGATATTTTGTTCTCTTCAAAGATGATTATACAAGGTACAGATTTGTGTATTTTATGAGGGAAAAAGCTGAAGTACACGCGAAATTGCTACTTATGCTTACTGAAGTAAAAGCATCAGGAGTTGTCATAAAAGAACTTCTTAGCGACAACGGTGGTGAGTTTGTCAACGCGAAGGTACAAGCTACTCTCAAGAAGGAAGGTATTGTGCAAAGATTGACAATGCCCTATACGCCACAACAAAATCCAACAGAGCGAGACAACAGGACCGTTGTGGAAATGGCGCGGAGTCTAATGTACGCACATGCAAAAATTCCTCCTGCACTTTGGGCTGAAATGATATCTGCTGCGGTGTACATCTTAAACAGAACAGGCCCAACCTCTGTGGATGGAAAATCACCGTATGAGTTATGGCACCAGAAGAAACCCAGACTGAGTCATTTAAGAATAATAGGATCCATTTGTTATCCACATGTTCCCAAGCAAAGACGAAAGAAGTTAGACAAGAAGGCACAAAAAGGAATATTAATTGGATATGACTCTGACAATGGCTACCGTATTTGGGACAGCAACTCTTTCAAACTGATTCGTTCCAGAGATGTCACTTTTAATGAGAATCCTTTATTGGGTCACTTTGAAGAGATTGACGAGCCTGTTGCCAATCAGAACAAAACTGCTGATAAAAATTCCAACACCCTGTTTGACTTCGTCATTCCTCGTCAGCATGAATGTTACACGCCGGCCGACACGAGCAACATCCAGCAGACATTGACAAGTCATGATGAAAGTATCGCATCGTCTTCTCAGCAAGATGAACATGCTGCTGAATCATCATGTGCAGAGATTGAAACTGCGAGTGAAGATGACGTGCCAGAGGCTGAAACATTTTTAGAGGCGGAGGAATCCTTTTACGAGCCTATATCCGAAGAAGAGGTTAGCGATGTAATCGAGACAGATCGTCAAGTCAACGATATAAATGAATCGAGGCCAGACCGTAGAGACGATTCGTCTTTATCTGCATCTGAGATCGAGGCTGAAGGCAGGATGACGCTACGAGACCGATCAAATCTCAGGCCACCGGCTAGATACAAAGACTTCATTTGCAACATTTGTATGAATGGCAATTCGATAAGCGATGAAAATCGAAAAGAGCCAAGTACATTTCAAGAAGTGATGGCATCTAAAGATTTTGATGAATGGAAAAAGGCAATGGATAATGAAATTAATTCTCTAAAAGAAAATGAAACATGGGAAATGGTAGATTTACCCAAGGGCAGAAAAGCGATCTCAAGCAAGTGGATTTTTAAGATCAAGACGAATCCTGACGGATCGATTGATAAATACAAAGCCAGACTTGTAATAAGAGGTTTTTCACAGAAGAAGGGTTTAGATTATTATGAAACCTTTAGTCCCTGTTGCAAAGACAAGTACCATAAGAGCATTACTCAGTATAGCTGCTCAAGAAAATCTCTCTCTATGTCAGTTCGACGTTTCAACTGCCTTTCTATATGGCAAATTGAAAGAGGATATTTATATGAAGCCTCCAGAAGGATATTCAAACAATGATGGTAAAGTTTGCAAACTTAAACGAAGTCTCTATGGACTTAAACAAGCACCGAGGTGCTGGAACTCTACTATTACTGAGCACATCCTCAAAGTTGGCTTCATACAGAGTGAGGGTGACCCCTGCTTGTTTAAAAGAGAGGGAAAGAACAAGTTATTAATAGCTTTATATGTTGATGACGGATTGATAGCGTCAGCAAGTTCAAAAGAAACTGAAAAGTTTTTGGACGAAATGCGTCAACGCTTCAAAATCACAACGAAATGCGGTTCCTATTTTCTTGGAATTGAAATAGAACGTAAAGTTGATGGGTCAATCAAAATTGATCAAAAGAGCTATGCAAAGAAGCTACTGCAAAGATTTGGCATGCAGAATTGCAAAGCTGCAGTAACCCCAATTGTTAAAGATAACGTGCTAGCTTCGAAAGACAATACGGATATTCATGACTTTCCATATCGACAGGTTGTTGGAGCATTATCCTATTTGATGGTTGGCACTAGACCTGACATTGCTTTTGCAGTTGGAATAGTGTCACGGAAGCTAGATAATCCAACATCAGAAGATGTAGCGAGAGTTAAGCGAATTCTACGCTATGTTAAAGGCACCCTAGAGTATGGTATAACATACAAATCTTCCACTGTAGAACGAGGCTTAAGATGCTACAGTGATGCTGATCATGGTGGTGATGAGACGACTGGACGCTCCACCAGCGGCATGATTTGCCTCAACGCCAATGGTGCAATAGCATGGCAGAGTAAACGTCAGACTACTGTCGCAATATCTTCTACAGAAGCTGAAATAATTGCAGCAAGTGAGGCCGCCAGAGAAGTTATATGGCTTAAACGGATCATGAACTTCATGCAGAGTAATACTCAGAAGGAGATTACACCACTCTTTATAGATAATGAATCCGCTATAAGATTAGCTTATGATCCACCTTACGAAGCACACCAGCGAACAAAGCATATAAGGCTTAAACATTTTTTCGTAAGGCAGTGTGTCCTAGAAAAGGATATAAAAGTTGAGAAGGTTGATACCAAGAATCAACTGGCAGACTTCTTGACAAAGCCATTATTTAAGCCTAGGCTTCTAGAACTATGTAAGCTAGCTGGAGCCTCCACTTAACCAACAGTTGCTTGAAGAGGAGACGGAATGTTAAGAAGGTTATATACATCAGTTACAAATTGTCTATCTTTAATATGATGATGTTACCTAGCAACTGTTGTTAATTTGTAGTCAAGAATAAATTTGTCAATAACAGAAACTTGCTTTCCATATTATATTTTATTTTATTATATTAAAGATTTTAACATAACTTAATTATTATTTAAGCCTGATAAGAATGAAGGAAAATCAATTAAATATTTATGATTTCTAACATACACATTTCTTATTTTTTGTTATTTTATAAAAGGATGTTAATAATTATGTAATCTTAATAAAATGAATAAAAAATTGTATTGAAAAAAATAAGTTTCTAAATTAAGTTCCAAGAACTGCATTTAGGTTAAGATAAGAATAACGTTGAGGAAAGGCTTGTATGAGCGACAGAGGTTTTGAAGTGAGTGATATATTCATACTGAGCTAAACGATCTAGACGAAGACATGAATCAATTGAGAAATCAATCAATTAAATTGGATCACTGAGCTAGTGAGCTAGATAAGTGATCCAGCGAAATGATATGTATCTATCTTTTCAGCTCAGTGATACATTTTGCGTGTTACTAATTCAGAGGTAATTCGTCATAAGACTCAAAACATCTAGCATTAAGTCATCATCAGACCCCAAATAAAATAAGAATAAGGGTAGTATAATTCTTCTATTCTACTCTATCATTCGTCATATCACTGTTTACTTACTTCCTAGCCATATCCTCTCTCACACAGTCAATCCACCTTTTATTTGGACTTCTTCTTCAATTGTACCCTTAAACTCATACCTAACACTTTTTTAGCATTTAGAGCAATAACGAAACGTGCCTATTTATTTTTCCCAAGGCAACACTTGTGTGGAATTCTGTCACCTTGGCTTGTCAAAATAGCTGTTAGTCGATATGGTAGACTCGGTATTTGTTAATAAACAAAATAAAGTTATTACAATTCAATTATAAATCAACTATTGAACTTTTCTATCTCACAAAGAAATGACTATGTCTTATAAAAAAGAAGACTTAAAAATTTACTGGAATAAAATTATCTATGCATACCCGATTCTCAATGATACGATTTTCACCGACTGTAATACTGCAGAGTATGATGAAGTTCAGCAAATTATCGTTGCATTGAACATCCAGATGAAGATACGCGACCTTGTGCTAGTTCACATTGAAAAGTACCTTCGCCAACACGTAGCACCAACCTTTTGGTCCAAATTTATGAAAGTGGATGAGGAAGTTAAAGGTTTTCAGTTGTTCAAGTCAGCCGTGAATGATTTGCATGATTCGGTATCAAGTTTCTCAGGAATGCTGCAAAGGTTAACCATATTAAATAATAGTTGTAATGATAATAAACCCATATATGGAGAAAAAGATGTTATTTTAGGATTTAAACAACTTGTGAGAGCTACTCTGTTGTCCCAGTTACCTTTAGATTTCCAAGTGATCATTAACCATTTCTATAAAGTATCCTTTAACGTATTTGATAATGAATACGAGAATTCTGATATGGGTGAAGATGTCCTGTGTTCAGGCTGTTTAAATGAGTGTTCAGACTGCAACTGTATGTATATTGTAAAGGTATTTCATGATACAAATAGGAAACTGATGGAATTGCAATTACTCGAGAGACTCACTGGTCAAGTTTTAACAAACTTTATTCAAATGCGTATCGAGTCTCATATTCAAAAACTCTGTACTGGTACATTTGATGTATCACATTTAGGGTTCTTAGAAAATTGGCTAGATACAACTGTCATGTCATGGCTTACTAGAATCTATTGTGGAGGATCATCAAAACCATCACCTGATGATAAGAATATTCAAAGTGCAATATCTAAGTTTAAACAAAAACTGAGTTACTTTTTGTATCACAGTTATACTAAGTTGAGAATTGACCAATTGTTTAATATTATTATAGAATACCCAGACTCCCAACCAGCTGTTGATGACATAAAGCTATGTTTAGAAAAAACAGATCTAAGAGGTACTCTTTGCAAAAATCTACAAAATGCTCTTGAAACAAGATTATTGCACCCTGGAGTGAATACACCAGATATTTTAACTGCCTATGTAACAACTATTAGAGCTTTACGACATCTTGATCCCTCCGGAGTTATACTTGAAACTGTCACAAAACCTGTTCGAAATTATTTGAGAAACCGAGATGACACTGTTCGTAGCGTTGTTAGCAGTTTGACTGAAGAAGGAGCTGGGAGTGAGTTGGCTGAGGAACTAGTTAAGTTTGCAGCAGAAGCTGATGGTGACTGTGACAAAGATGAATCTTGGGATAGGTGGAACCCAGACCCTGTCGATGCTGATCCTACTGTGGATTCTAGTGATAGAAGGGCTAATGATATAATTTCAATGCTTGTCAACGTTTATGGCAGTAAAGAACTCTTTGTGAATGAATATAGGACACTTTTAGCTGATAGATTGTTGGCGCAAAGTGCTTTAAACACAGAAAAGGAAATTAGGTATCTGGAACTATTAAAGCTGAGATTTGGAGAGTCACAGCTACACTTTTGTGAAGTAATGCTCAAAGATATATCTGATTCCAAAAGAATTAATGCTCTTATTCACCAAGATAAAGAAATAGAGACCTTAAACAAGAAGTTTACATCAAATGCAATGATCTTATCTGCACAATTCTGGCCTCCGTTTAAGGACGAGAGTTTAGAATTACCGGAGGAAATAAAACGCCACTTAGAAGCTTACACAAAATCATTTGAGGCATTAAAAGGCAATAGAACTTTGAGTTGGAAGCCACACCTTGGCAATGTAAACATTGAAATTGAGATAGGAGACAAGAAGTTAGATTTAACAGTATCACCATTTAATGCTACCCTAATAATGCACTTCCAAGAGAAATCAGAGTGGACAATAGATGAGTTGCATCAAGTCATGAAGGTTCCAGTAACCATATTGAGGCGAAAAATTACTTATTGGCAGTCAATGGGTCTCATTGCAGAGAAAAGTACAGATTACTATGTGTTAGTGGATGGATCAGAGGCAAATAAAGCAAATGTTGCAACTAATCAAGTTCAAGAAATGATCTGTGAGGATGATGAGACAGAAAGTGTGATGGCATCTGCTCATGATCAAAGAGAAGGTGAATTACAGGTATTCTGGTCTTATATTGTAGGCATGCTCACCAATTTAGATTCTCTACCTTTGGACCGCATCCATCAAATGTTAAAAATGTTTGCATCCCAGGCTCCAGGCACTGAATGTAGTCTCCAAGAACTTAGACAGTTCTTAGATACAAAAGTTAGAACTCATCAGCTGGTGTTACAAGGCGGAATGTACAAGTTGCCCAAAACATAAATATAAGAATACTATAAAATAAACCATATACAACAATAATTTTCGTCTATTATTTGCAGTTTCGTCTATTATAAAAAAACACATTTCTTTGACTTAGTAACTTTTGCTCTCTGAATTATCAGATCTTGAAAGAACAGTAAAAGTTCCTTTAAGGTTCTTTAAATTTTATGGAAGAACATTAATTATTACTTCTTGTTAACAAAAGCATAACAGTAAAAGCTGAATGCTTAAGCGTGTTACTCGTATAAGCTTTAGTAGTATTAATGGATGAATGGGTTTTAAATAATATAGATGAGAAATTGGAAATTATATTCAGTTTTCATCAAATAGGATTAAAGGAGGAAATTGAAAACTGAATTCAATCATCAATAAAAACGTTAGCTTTAAACCGTTTTTGTATGCCTACTTAACAAATACAAATTGTGCGAGTTGAAAAGAAAAACGAATTGGATAAGTTTAACAAAACTTTATTTTTTTTACATTGTTTTAAATATAAAAATTTGGTTACATTAATAATGTCTGTGGGTTAATATCTGGATTACTTATTGTAAGTGACAAGTTCTGAAGCTATTTTAATCAACAAATACTTAGCAATAATAAGTTAGCTCAAATAAGTTATTAATAAGTAATACCACCACATAGTTTTAATAAAATATAACATTTTTAATACTTAGTGTTTGCAATACATAATCTTGTGTCAGTCTTAACAACTATAAAAATACTGTTTAAAATTAAAAAGTGGAAATAATCGTTCAGATTAATAAATAATAATTAGCTAATTTAATGAATAAAACTATAGATACTGAGAAACAATACAGATTCTTCAAAAAATATTTTGAATGGAATGCATCCGACATGTTGACTCGTCTGTGTACAACAGGGACCCCATAAATGCAAGTCAATTTACACAATATTACCCCCACATTATAAGAAGTGATTTGGTATATTTTATCGTTTGATATGGAATGTGCCTTTTACAACAATACGGAAAAATGATGACGACATTTCATTTCCTGACGTATAGTAAACACAGTAATATTCTGTTTAAATATGATAATATTGAGACTACGAAATTGATACGATACTTCTTGGTTTAATCGGTTACTGGATCCCTATGTTATATTTGTCTTAATACACATCCTCTCTTAATACGCAATAAATAATAACAATAAACGGCGATAACGTTTGAATCTCAATTATGCAAATAATAAATAAAATTGTATAAACAAACCTACAACAGTTAAAGCTCTATATCTAGTTTACATATGTACAGAAAACATCAATGTAATGTAGAATGATTGCTGATTGTCTATGGTATTTAATTTTTACATATTTTGAAGACATTTCCATAAAAATATTTGTTAAAATGTTTGGAACATTTCAATTCTATTGAAGCACATTACAATTAAATCTACAGCAAGCATGTACATTACATTTTAAATGCATGACTCTACAGGTATTAAAAGCTTACGAAATATTAAGTACATGAAAATTTCTTTAAGTCCTTTTAGTCGTAAGTATAATCTCTCCGTGGACGAATTAACTTAAGATTAACGGTAGAACGTTCAAAGAACGTTTTAGCATATTCTTTTAAAGACTTACAGTTTAGTGTGAATGGTGTATATGTATAGCGTGAGGTGATTTTTTTCATGTATTGCGATCGAAAGTCCAAAAAAAAAACTTTTGATCTACTAAACATACACGAAAAAATATGCCAATGCAAAACTTTACGCACCATAATATTGTTTAGTGAGTGGGGGCAATTCGATAGGTCGGTGAAGAGACGGGTACCGCAAGCGAAGAAGCTACTCGCCTACCGAGATACACTACGGTATTTACAATAAACGTGCAGCGGACCGATGAGACACGAACGATCGCAAGCCCAAGAAGCGGACAACGGGAGGCGCAAGAACGAGACACATAATGAAAACCGGCACTCGTCGGACCGGTTTGAAACATGGAGTCGCTATCGAAAGATGACTATCTACTACACGAGTTCACGCACCACTATCGAGGCCGGTCCGACCTGTACTAGTTTCGACTAACATTACACGATCATAAGATCCAGCGCGGGGCCGCACGCCGGAGCCTCGGCCGGGGCGCGTGGGCTCCTCACCGGTTGCGGCGCGGGGCGGCGAGCGCGGGCGCCATCAGCGCGGGCGGGGCGGCCAGGGGCGGCGCCGTGAGCGGCGCGGGCGGCGCGGCGCCGGCGGGCCGCTTGAACGGGCCCAGGCGCCGCGCGGCTCGGGGCGACGCACCGTGCGCCTCGGCGCCGCCCCACGCGCTCGCGCCGTGGTCCAGCAGCGCGGCCGCCAGCCGCCCGCCGCTCTGATCTGCGACCACACGGGTATTTAGTCGCGCTCGCGTCCGGCCGCTCGGCCGTCTGCGAGCGGGGTCACGCGTCGAGGGGCATCGGGAGCTTGGGTCGGGTGCGGCGGGACGGGCGGAAGGGGCGGGGCGGAGCGTCGGGCTCGTTACCGTGCGGCGGCGGCGGGTCGGGCACGGGCTCGCGCATGCGCTCCACGAAGTGCTCGAAGGTGGTGGGCATGGTGTGCGCGGCGACGAGCGCGTCGAGCTCGCGCGCGCGCTCGGCGTAGGCGTGCTGGTACAGCGCCATGGTGGCCCGCACGGCGCGCCCGCCGCTGAACGCCGCGCAGCGCACCAGCGCCGCGCTGCAGCTCACGCGGATGATGCACTCCTCCCACACCGGCCCGAACACTGCCACCTGCAATGTCTACGTTTATACATCTCCGTCGCTTCATAGAGATCGCTTCGGGCGGCCGCCACATAGATCGATGATCTCGAAACATTCATTTATTATTCGTTAATAATAAGCCCTTTCTGTACGAGCAAACCCGCACATTTGTAGTAGTTAATGAAATTAGCTTGCGTTCACTCATTTGTATTGCGCTCGTATTACATAGGCACTTACTTTACATACATAATTTTTATACATAATTTAGTAGCAATAAAATCATCATTCGGTAAAGTTGTCTACTCATTTATCAAACCAGCAATCTATCAGTAATGTTAGGGAAACTACCCCTACATTAATGGTCCTTCGAGTGTAACCGTAACACAGGACTATAACGCGAGTGTTCGATCAAGAATATATCGTGCGTCCGGTTACTGACTATCAGCGTACCTGTGGTCACTATCAGCGTCACTTCACGCTAAGAGCAGCCCCAGGAGTAAGCACAGCGGCACAAGTACAGCCTGGCTTCCAGTCAGCAGTATTAAAGTAAGATCTTTCCTTTTTTTTCTGTACATCATGAGCCAAACAATGGAGGATCTTGCAGAAAACCAGAATCAAATAATGGTGGCCATGAACCAGTTGTTAGTTAATTTTAAGAAAACTGGGCATGAGCGTAGGACTCCAGACTATGTCAAGCGACGTCTGGAGACTTTAGATGCCTATTGGCAGGAATTTCAAATGAATCATGTTACTTTGAGCGGTTTTAAGGACGAATCTTTAGAGTATTTCGCTAAAAACCGCTATCAGCAAACAAAAGAATTTTATATATCTACTCACGAGTACATAAAGCAAGCGACTACATCATCAGTTTTGAGACCCGCGACCCCTTTGGCTGGCACATCGGTCGGGGTGAGCGTGGAACAGCATACCAAGGATACGGCCGATACCGAAATTAAATCCTTACCCGCGGTTCCAATGTTTCGGTCTCAAGGTACAAATAGCAAACTGGATGACTGGATGAAGAAGCAAACCAGTAACTTTAAGGCTTTTTCACGCGCAATCAGAAACATAAACATAGATAGCATAAGAGAGAGGTGGGAGTTTCAGGATACATTAAAATCTTTAGAGGCGAGATGGTCTGCTATTGACTCCCTTCACTGGGAGTTAGATGGGGAGCTCGATGGTAAAGACCAGTCATACGAAGACGCTTATTCTGCCTATGAAACAGCTTTTAATTGCATGAAAAAGAAACTGAATAGCAAGTTGTGGTCAGTAGCACATAGGGATAAGTCAACCCCTAAGATGGATGTTCCTACATTTCAAGGCAATTATAATCATTGGGTTTCCTTTAAAGATTTATTCACGGAGACAATACATAACAACCCGTCGCTATCGAATGCGCAGCGAATGCAATTTCTTAAAAGTAAAGTTAAGGGGGAGGCAGAAGCGTTGATACAACATTTACAGATTAGTTCAGAAAATTACACTACTTGTTGGGAAATTCTGAACCATAGATATAATAACAAAAAGCGTATCTTTATGTCGCACTTAAGTATTCTGTGGAACCTTCCAGTCATGCAACAAGCATCCCTTAGCCATATCAAGCGCCTTCACGACACAACATACGAGTGTCTCAACGCGATCAAAAATCTAGGAGTAGATGTGAGCACGTGGGATCCCTTTCTTGTGTTCCTATTAACAAACAAATTGGACCCTGAGACCCACGATGATTATTTAGGCTCTCTGAAACAACCACGTGAATTACCGATTTTACAGGACCTTTTAGACTTTTTGGAAAACAAATTCACGAACATGGAGTCCTCAAAGCGTAAACAGGAAACAAAATCTGTAAATTCTAACTCAAAATTATTACATGAAAATCATTCCAATAACAATCAGAAGTTTCGTAACTTCAGACAAACATATTCAAGTAATAAAGTAGTTTCGCAATTAAATACTAAATCAAATTACAACAAAATCTGCCCATTATGCAAAAATGAACATGGTCTATATCATTGCGAAATGTTTATTGCGATGTCTCCAGTAAATAAAATACAATTTGTTAACAAGCACAAACTGTGCGAAAACTGCTTATACAATCATAACGGTAAGGCATGTTTTTCAACAAAACGTTGTCGTGAATGTACCGGATATCATAATACAATTTTACACGAAGCATTTACGCAATCGCCAACTAAGTCAAAAAATATTGCTCTAGCAAAATATGATACCGCACGGGTATCCGCTGAGCAAGCACATCAAGTTAATTCGCACGTGGCACAAAAACGAGAAGTTCCAGAAATACTTTTATCGACAGCAGTAGTCAAGGTTCAAAAAATGGATGGGTCATACCTTACATTAAGAGCTCTGATTGATCAGGGTTCACAAACTTCCCTCATAACAGAGAATGCAGCACAACTATTATCATTACCGCGACAAAAATGAAAAATAATGCTTGCAAAGGAGTTGTTACCATAAACTGTAATTCCCGGAATGATTCTTACACTTTCAATACAAATGTTTTTATTATGAAAAACTTGACAAAATGTTTACCGACTCACAGTTTCGCTAAGCCAACATGGGCATACTTAGACAATATATTCCTTGCCGATCCAGATTTTAACATCAGCAGCCCTATTGATTTATTATTTGGCGCTGACATATATTCGAATATAATTATGGATGGCATATGCCGACTAGACAACACCATTCCCGTTGCTCAACAAAACGCAAGCTTGGTGGATCTTGTGTGGACATGTGAACAAAACTTTACAATGTAACGTTATACAGGTTGACACTGATCAGTTACGTAGATTTTGGGAAACCGAAGAAATATCCGAATCTACGTCTCTTTCTTCGGATGATGAAAGATGTATACAATTTTACAAGTCTTCCACGCGCCGATTGCAAGACGGAAGATACGAAGTAAGGCTCCCTCTTAAAACGGGCATTGAGGAACAGTTGGGTAAATCAAAGTCGAAAGCTATTGCCCAATTTAGCCACTTGGAACGAAAATTTGCAACAAATCAAAATATCGCCTTTGAATATAAATCCTTTATAAACGAGTACTTAGCGTTAGGTCATATGACACGAGCTTTAGGTAACACGAAACTCGAATGTTTCTTACCGCATCATTGTGTACTGCGTGACTCAACAACAACGTCATTAAGAGTAGTATTCAATGCGTCATCAAAAACTACAAGTGGCCAAAGTTTGAATGATCTAATGTATAAGGGCCCAAATTTACAGCAAGACCTTCAGTTCCTTATACTAAAATGGAGACAATTTCAATTTGCTTTTACGGCAGACATCGAAAAGATGTTTCGCGGAATTTTAGTACATCCAGATGATCAGGCCTTACAGAAGATCGTGTGGAGGGAGAGCCCCACAGATATACTACAGGACTATCAATTAAAAACTGTCACATATGGCACGAAAGCAGCTCCATTTCTCGCTATGATGACTTTGAGACAGTTGGCTAGCGATGAAAGGAGCAAGTATCCAGAAGCAGCAAAGGTCCTAGAAGAGTCATTTTATATGGATGACTTGGTCCATGGGGCTCACAACATATCCACAGCTTATCAATTACAACAAGATTTAATTACATTATTAAAGAGTGGTGGTTTCAACTTACGGAAGTGGGCTGCAAACGAGGCTCAGTTGTTACATGATGAAACATTACAACAGGAATCAATAACTTTTAAACAACCTGAGTCCACAAAAACTTTAGGACTTCGCTGGAATCCGTCACAAGATAATTTCACATTTAATTTCAAAATAAAACCAATAGTCAGCAAAGTTACAAAACGGTCCGTGTTATCTGAGATATCTCAGTTCTTTGACCCCTTAGGATGGCTTACACCTGTTACCACGAAACTTAAAATTCTATTTCAAAGAATTTGGTTATCGAATATACAATGGGATGATCAAATACCGGCAGAAATATACGATGAATGGATCAAAATAAAATCAGAGATAGAACAAATCAATCACGTTCGATTACCGAGATGGCTAGGAACCAAACCAACCTACAAAATTGAGCTACATGGCTTTTGTGACTCGTCTACAAAGGCATATGCCTGTGTTATCTATTGTAAAGTTTACAACGACCAGTCAAACATTACTCTTGTCGCAGGAAAATCAAGAATAGTGCCGTCTAGTAAGAAAATAACATTACCACGATTAGAGCTTTGTGGAGCTCTTTTACTAGCGAATCTCATGGCTAAAGTTAAGTCATGTTTACAAGACTATAGAATTGACGTTTACGGCTGGACCGACTCTACAGCCGTTCTAGGATGGCTCCAGGGAGAACCAGGCCGGTGGCAAACATTTGTCGCTAACAGAACAAGAGCAATCACAGAGACAATACCGTCTGCCTGCTGGCGACATGTGAAGTCTAGCGAAAACCCTGCTGACTGTGCTAGTAGAGGTTTACATATGTCTCAATTAAATCAGCATCCCTTGTGGTGGCAAGGACCTTCGTGGTTGTTCACATTCAATAGCAATAACGAGGCGCAACTGCCCATTTACGCAACCACAGAAGAATTAAAGAAACAGAAACATATAAACAATGTTTTGATGCAAGATACCAGTAACAATATCATTACAAACTTATTGATACACTATAGCTCGTTAAATAAAATTGTGCACATACTAGCATGGATGTACCGTTTTATAACATATAAACAAAGCAAATTGCGAGAAGAATATCTTACCTTAGAAGAAATCAGAAAAGCCAAATTATCGATTATCAAGCATGTGCAACAAGAAGAGTTTACAGAAGAGATAAGAAGTCTCAAGGAAAAAGGCAAGATAAGCAGTAAAAGTAAACTTCTAAATCTCAATCCCTATTTAGACAGTAAGGGTCTTTTACGTGTGGGAGGGAGATTACGACACGCTTACATCCATGCTGATATGCAGCATCCCCTAATCATACCGCACAAAGGACGACTAACAGAGTTGATCAAAGAAGAGGCTCACCGACTAACCTTTCATGGCGGTGCTCGATTAACGTTGGCGTTCATAAGACAAAAATATTGGATTGTGAGCGGTAACGACACCACTAAAAAACGGATACGTTTATGCTTAAAATGCAAAAAGATAAGTCCCCTTAAACAGCAACAGATCATGGGAGACTTACCCGAGGCAAGGTGTAATCCATCACGTCCGTTTGCCCACACTGGGGTAGACTTTACGGGACATATCCTGCTTAAAGCCAACAAGGGCCGTGGGATTAAGACAACCAAAGGTTACGTGGCCGTCTTCATTTGCCTGAGTACTAAAGCGGTACACTTAGAGCTAGCCTCAGACCTGAGTACCTCGACATTCATTGCAGCTTTAAGACGAATGGCTGCTCGCAGAGGAACGCCTACTCACATATACAGTGACAACGGTAGAAACTTTGTCGGTGCAAACAAATTATTGCAAGCAGAATATCATGACCTACAGCAAATATTCAACAAGGATTTTTTTGCTGAAGTTACAGAAATGGAAATCAGTTGGCATTTTAACGCGCCAATCTGGCCCTCAGCTGGTGGCCTGTGGGAATCGGCCGTTAAAAGCTTTAAATATCATTTTAAAAGAGTGATTGGTGAACAAAAGTTAACGTACGAAGAGTTGTCAACGGTATTAGCACAAATCGAAGCGTGCCTGAATTCTAGACCTCTGTGCCCACTAACTGAAGATCCACAAGATTTGGCATATCTGACACCGTCACACTTCTTGACTGGTGGATCAGCACTTACATTGGTTGAAACAGAAAGAGACTTGAGAACCAGATGGCAGCTGACTCAGAGAATTTTCAGTGACATTTGGAAACGATGGCGTTCTGAGTATCTAACACAATTAACAACGCGTAGCAAATGGCGAAAGCCTCATGAAAATATCAAACTAAATGACGTAGTCCTTCTGCACGACGACAACCTACCACCGGGAAAATGGTCGATGGGTAGAGTGATAGAGCTGCATCCGGGTACAGACGGATATGTCCGGGTTGTTAGTCTAAAAACGAAAAACGGAGTACTCAAAAGACCCATCACAAAATTATCAATTTTGCCAATTAACCCTTCCAAATCGGAGATATTTCAAAACGATAAAAAAGTTGTATCAGACACTACTCTTCCCTCACTCACAAGAGAAATGTAAGAAGTTATAATATCGTATCACTGCTTACATCTTTAATATTTTTTTATGACTATCATATCAACTGTACAAAGCAGTTTTTATTTTACGAAATTTGGTCAAAAGCAAAGCCTTTAGTTCGATAAATTATCCGATATGCAGATAATAAGGGACGATTTGAAATGAATTATTTACTACGACATGCAACCTTACTGGGAGGGAATAAAAGCTCTCAATAAATACCATACGTCTCTCGAACAAATGTGTAATACATTATTGTATCATACAATGAACTGCGATATTATATTACTACAATTGAATCAAGGTGTTGTTGAACTTGAATATTACAATCAGATGTTGCTCGGTCAGCATTCTAGCGCGAGACTGGACTCTCTGGCCAGGCAGCGACGCGGTCTTGTAGACGGCGTGGGATATCTCGCTAACAGTCTGTTCGGCGTATTAGATAGCCGATTTGCCGAACAATATCAAAAGGATATCAGGTTACTGCGTGACAACCAACGGCATATTTCGTCATACTGGCAGAATCAAACATCTATTATCAAAACACAATATTTTACTGTGATTGCGCACAAAATTGCAATCTAGTGAGTTGAACGTAAAACCTGAGGTATACGCTCCATTAATACCACCAATAAATCAGATTATCAACATCCCTATCCCACACTTAGTTCCACTGAACGAATCGGAAGTGGAAAGTTATGATAAAGAACTGTCTAACATCGGCGAGTAAATTAAAGTCATGAAAGATAATGCACATTTATCAGAAAGCATCTCGTATCATGACATACACCACTACACAGCGATCTACTGTATCGTCGGAATCGCAGGGATAGCCAGTTTGATATTCGCGTGGCGACGAGTGGCGTACCGCCCGCGAGCGCGCCGACATCGGCGGATCAGCAGAGAAGTAGTGACAGAGTGTTTTTCCATTGTGTTAGTGAAATAAACGACAGTGTTCCGTATGTCAGATCGAATCTGGCTAGTTCTAGGGCACGTGTACTAAATAAAGCCTCGTCGCCCATTCTTATTCGTTAGTGCGCGCGATAAACTAAGGTGAACAATCCATAAAGTGAAAAAGTAACTAGGGACATTAAATTTTAATGTAATAATGTTCCATCCTTTCAAATACTTACTTTTTATATTTTTAATTTAGAAGTTATTTACTACAGATATTGAACTGCTAACATTGTTCTAGTTTATTTCATAAGCTATCATTTTACATAGTTATTTTCTCCTGTGTGGGAGCATGTACGAGCAAACCCGCACATTTGTAGTAGTTAATGAAATTAGCTTGCGTTCACTCATTTGTATTGCGCTCGTATTACATAGGCACTTACTTTACATACATAATTTTTATACATAATTTAGTAGCAATAAAATCATCATTCGGTAAAGTTGTCTACTCATTTATCAAACCAGCAATCTATCAGTAATGTTAGGGAAACTACCCCTACACTTTCTATTTAATGTCTGGAAAACAAACATGACGATCTATTTTATGGTATTACAAATCTGATTTCACGCCTAAACCAATGTTAATGAGTGTCACCGATGCTTACGTCGGGCTTCCTGGAGACGGTACAGCGCAGCAGCCCTCCCGGTAGTGGATAGAGCACGATAAGCACGTCACAGAATTGTGTAGGTAAAGTATCTCGCTTGTACGGCCGCCAGTGCTCGCTCCACACTACATGCACTTCGTCGTTCCCGAGGTGACGAGTCTGCAAAAATACAGTTCTAAATTCATATTAAATCTTCACATCCCTTTTACGACAGTCATTTTGTCAATGAAGAGACCACTAGGACAGGGATACCAACTGGCCATCATTCATCACCACTATAACTGTACAACATTTTTATATCGAACATGGATTTATTTGTCTCTTATGCAAAAATATTATATTTAAATATTCCTTACCACATTGAATTTTACTATATTGTTTACTTGTTAACAGTTAAACCGAGAGTCATTGATTAAAATCTATAAAACATAAAAACTTCTTCAGAAATCTTCAGTGAATTAGTAATTAAAATATTTAAGGATTTTGAATAAATGAGCCTGAAACCCGTACCGGAACTAAGGGGGTGCCAGCAGTACCTAGACACACGGCGTCAACCGTATATGTAAGTAGTTTAGTAACACTAAAATTATAATTGGGTAAATGTGGACATATATAAATGAGTGTATGGTTGGATGAAACTGCTTTTTAAAGATTTTAACCTTATTAAGTATAGCGTCTGGGGTGTCTGCTGGCATTCTCGTGGCGACATGGAATAACGCCTCTAAGGTGAGGGTAGCGATGTATGGCGCCGATACTCCACCCCCTCCGCCGCCCCGCAGACCACCCGTGAAACCTACGTGACTTTCCAACTCCACCTAGTAATACACAAAATATTATTATATAATTACAAATTTTTAAACCAAATTTTGCCCCAAAAAAAGAGTAAATATTTTCTTAGAGCAAATATAAATTATATACCAAACAATAAATAAATGAACAGTAAAATCTCAGTATGTATGTATATCTGTCACTCTGGTTCTGTCCATATTCTCAATTATTATTATCTCGTTACATATAAAACTTAATTTCTAGTGCAGTAGCACCTACTCAGACATTTCCTCACCACACAAAGGTAGACTGGGAGAAAATGCCTGTGGCATTAAGTTCGCCATTGTACAATGAATAGGGAATATGCACGTGACACCAAAATGGACAAAATATTTTTATTTGTAATTTTTATGACTAAAAAAAGATACCCATACAATTATTTTTGAAATTTATTATAATTTAATAGTGAAATTTAATCATCAAAAATTGGCTTTTTTAAGATTCCCTCGCAAATTTCTAAAACGCAACGCTATTGGTTGAATAAAACGTGACGTCAACCTACACTGTCAAGAGTGTCAACAAGTTGTGTGTATTTATAATATTTGGTTTCTGGTGATTATTTGTTTCATTTTAACTGTACATGTAACTAATACGTTTTCAGTGTTAAATTATTAAATTTCCGTGTAGAAAGACTCAAAACAATGACTGAATATAATTTGTCAGGTGCAGTTTTGATATTATTTGGGCACAAAGGAACGGCACAATATTTATAATAAGTTTTTATTGGCTTTTCCATGGTAATAAGTTAATTTTTATCACTCACTTTTTTAACTTTCACAAACTTTGTGAACTTCACTCCATTGTTGACATCGAATTCGTCTGAAAGTGTAATCTGACGTCACAAAAAAAAGCGCGAAAATGGACGTGTTCAAATTGCCCCAAAATGATAGTGATTTTAATAAATATTTTTTTGCTTAACGGTTTATATTTCGGATGTGTTATATTTATTTTTGGTAATGTAATAACTAGTAGAATCGTTTAAAAAAATAAAAAAAATACATGCATATTCCCTATTGTAGTTTGTGCAAAAAGAATTAAATAAATAAATAAAAAATAATAAAGCCAATTTTTTTATAAAAACTTCATACAAACGGCAATTTTGATGTAAGGATATCTTACAGCAGATGGGGCAGGGGGCGTTCAATTTTGAACCTTGCTCACAGTCATAAGTGATTGTACAAACTATTACTCTTTCTATTAGCGATGTTTAGAGAGTATATTTTACTACTTTTCCTTATATATAAGTACTTATATTCATGGGAAAATTTTACATCTATAAAAGTCAGAGGATATTTACTTCCTTATCGGTTGACTCATAAACTTCTAAATTGCTAAGAACAGAATTTGGGACAGTCGTATTAAGAGGGTCCAGGAGTCAAGATCTCTTAGATCACTAATAAATTATAGATGACACGTTTATGCACATAAGGAAACTTTTTAATACCATATACGACGTTTTAAAACCATACCTCCCACGCCAAGGCGGCGAGAAATGCTTCGTATGCAGGGCTGCCACACTGGTTTGAAAGAATCTCTTGTCGAGTTTCCTGTCCCTTGCCCACGTATATCACAGCTACTTTGTGCGTCTCACGGCATCTACGAAAGAAGTGAACGCCATGTTTTATATTCTAGTGATATTTTGTAATTAGTGAGGATGAATAATCGATAAGGAAAATTGGTAGCATAAATATATTGCATAAAAAGATTTGTATATTAAACGATTCGCCTCGACCAGGTTTGCGTAGTTTTATCTGTGTTTATGGCCACCGCGCTGCCGAGTAGGATGTAGCACGACGTTACGTAGTCTACAACTTTTCTTAACGAACGGGACAGGTTCGGAGCCGCTGGAATCGAATCGTGCAGCATTCTTTGAAAAAAACGTAGCAGTGTTTATTTTAACGTGTACCATCTTTTCTTCCTGGAACGTGGCAGTCGGAGTGGAGACAGGAAAAGAGGCGAAAGTGTGGAACAGTAAGGTTTCCGGCGGGGATTATCCTAAGGCTAGCTCGTTTTATATAATAACGTGTAGGGCGGTACCTCATGGCGTCGAGGTTGCGCAGGTCGCGCAGCAGGCGGTCGGAGCGGCGCAGCAGGTGCGCGTGGTGGCGGCGCGCGGGCGCCAGCGCGCCGAGCTGCGCGCCCAGAGCGCGACACACGCCGAACGGGGCCGCCGCGCCCGCGCGCTTGCACAGCGGCTGCTCCTCCTCCTCGAAGCTGTGCGCCAAATACGACCCTTAAGATTTCACTTTGGCTGTTCTACTTCTGGCCGTTACTGAGCCCGCTCAGACTTATTATAACTTGCACACTGTTAACTTATTCGTTTGAACTGTATTCAGCGATTTGTTGCGTGCGAAACGAAAAGTTTAAAAAAAAATGAACCGGTCCCTCTACTCGGTTTAGAACCCCTGACGCTAAATAACCTTAGCGTTCTCGTTACGGATTCCGTAGATAGATATATAGATATAGATATATTACCGAATACCTCTAGTATACAAGCCAATACTAACGGGCATAGATTTATGACTTTAGAGCTCTACATCCTAATGAGCGCTTATCACCTGTCTCGATTGGAGAGGTAGTGCCTCTCGTTATTCCTGTGTTGTACGAGTGTCGCTACGAGCTCGTCCTCAGCGCCGGGGGGCAAAGGCGAAGGCCCCGCCTCGTCCAAGCGCCGTCCGCAAACTACCTCCGGGGACGTATGACCGATGTACGCCAGTACCTGAACATTAGTGACTAATTTAAACATTAATTGTATTACCAATAAATTATATCTTCATGGTTCTACCAAAAAGTAAATAATTGCATAAAAGTGAACTTCGTATCCTTGTTATTATTTAATAAAAATAATCAATGCTATATGCTGTTGCCTTTATTACATACGCGTACGCGTAAACGAGTAACTAGTGGCACCACGAGTAGGTCGTGACGGACGTAAAGCATCCCACTGAGTTAGTTCGACAAGTCGACGCCGTGATATACTTGTAGCTTTATACCTACGAGTATAGTGTGGAAAAACAATTGCAAAGTGGACTGCACGGATGGCGTAGTGGTTTTAGCGGTCGCCACGCCGCTTACCAGACGACACTTTTTGTGATCCACAAATTGTTGTTCTGAGTCTGGGTGTTTCTTTGTGTCCGTTTCATGTATGTTTGTAAAGTCCCCCGAGACACATTAGGAAATATATCCTATATTTCCTAATACAAGAGTTGTCTTTTTTAAAGAAAGAAAATAGATCAGATTCTTCTCTTGAGTTTTAAAAAGCGGTATAAAAGTACTGGTATGTTGAGGTAAGAACACATATTTAAAGAAATTGAAAAACAAAGCACCAAATCTAGCATATAAATAAATAATAGCGATTTAATTAAAAACTTCAATACATACATGGTCCAGTTGATGTTTGTCCGGAGGGCTGTTTTTGTGGTCTGGCAACAAATCGGGAGGCAGCGGTGGTGGCAGTGAAGACAACGTATTGTCCCGTGGGCATTCAGTACTACAAAATCGTACACACATTTTGTTATTTATTGGCTATTGGGTAAGATATTTGTCACTTACTTTTAAAAAGCCCAAATCACCAAACTAGGTGTACAACACACCTAGTTCGGTGATTTGTGACTACCATTCCTAGTGGCGAGTAGGTATAGCGAAAGTTATACACATATAGAACACGTTATATCGGTTAGCTTCAAGCAAGTTTTAATGTCACTATGTGATGTAATTCTTGAAGAGATTACCTACTTAAACTGTTATTAAAAGATGTGTGTATTTAACAAAACGTATTTACCGTCATAAGATAAAAGGTAAAAAAAAGGTCAGTTTACAAAAATCTAAAGTTTGACAAAAAGTCATGCAAAAAAGTTGTGTCTACAGTACGCGATTAGTGGGTCGAGTGGAGTCAAAGTGCCTGAGTAATAGACTTTCATATTCACTTATCAGCGATTTGCAGAACCGTCACGAAAACTTAAGTACACCTCTTACAATTTCTAGTGTAAGTGAAATTATAGTATAATACAACCATGGTCGGTCATCTGGAAGATGTTCGATTGAAATTATTTTTATATATTACATGTTACACGCACGTCACACGCTATGTGATAGTAGGTATAGGTATGTAACACCCACTATCACATAGCGTGGCGACGCATCCATGCGATGTGATGTGATAGTGAACAGTCTGTCTGACCGTCCGCATTATATATTTCACATCAATATGTTTATAGTATAATATAAAATAATTATTTTTATACCTACCTATCAGGCAATTCGAGAGGTTCTATCTTTTCTGAAGAAGCAATGGAAGGATCATAGCAGAGGGCCGATGCATCCCAGCACGCTTTACCAGCAATATCACGCAGCAACACACGCACTTGTCGATCTGAAGTCATCAGCCCTGAGAACAAAACTTCGATATCATTTAATATTATTTTATTTATATTATTATCTCGAATAGGTTGGCAAAATTCTTTCTTCTTCCAAATACCAAATTTCAAGCTAAAGGACATCGACAGCTGTGTACGGGACTTGGGCCAAGGCGCAAGCATTTTAACTACTACTACTATTACTATTTCGTAACTGAAGCTATGTAGAAACCAATAATATAATTAGTTTTGTGTCAAAACAGTTATAAAAAACAGGACAAGTGCGAGTCGGACTCGCCGACCGAGGGTTCCGTACAAATTTGTAATCGAAAACTATACATCATGAAAATAATTAACGAATTGGGAAGTGCATAGTGTAACGATCGCTTTAGTCTTTACTGTAAAATGTTCTGCGCACACGAGCATGATATTGCAGGAAACATTTTTTTTATTTTCTTGGTATCCTATTGTCAAAATAATGTTTTTATTTTCATGCTCACACGGTTATTTGCACGATACCTATGCCTAAAAATCAGTTTTTTTTGTCTGTCTGTTTTTTCCAGGTAATTTTCTAAACGTCTAATCTTAATAATCTTCTAAACTTTGATAATATTTTACTGCCAGGTACAGTACAGGTAGCTGTCTATATAAGGAGTAACTTAGGCTATTTTTCCTCTTAGAAAATCCTTTAAAATTTCCGGGCATCGAACTCACTAAGGCAGCGCTTTTCAAATTCCACGCGAACGAAGTCGCGGGTACCAGCTAGTATTTTATAATGCTTTTTGTTCATTTGATACAACCATATATATTCTCATGAATATTTATTTTATAATAAAATAAAACTATTACTATATTAATTTGTTTACAAAATTGCTGCCCGTCTCATGGCCCAATCCGTAGGTCTCCTTTAAGACTAAGGGGGTTTAGTCACTGCGATTCCTACACACGGCAAATCCCAGTGGTAATAAAGAAGTTAAACTTAGTACCTGGCGTGGTAGCAGCGGGCATGTCTAACGCGGGCAGTTCTATTAGCGAGGCGAGCGTGGAGTCGCTAAACCTGAGCATTTGTACGTGCGGCGCGCTCAGCACGGCCGGGCCAAGCTCACCGCCCAGCGCTGGACTGTCATGCTGTTCGCATACCGACGATGATACCTGCCACCCACTCCACAGAGGCCAGTGGCCCAGGAACAGCACCAGTTGAGTACATATCTGGGAAGGCGATCAAAGGACTTAACATGGGAAATAATTTAATAGAAAGGACAACAAATATCTTCTTTTAAAGATAAAAAATATTTTAAAATAAAATCTACAAATTGTTACCGTTTGGGCCCAAAGTTTTACATCTATAGTGGATGCCGGTGACGTCTTTGGTCCAAGATTGTCGGTTTGAATATTTGGGTCGAAATCTTCGTCCACAGGGAGCGATAGGCCTTCGATATCCGATCCATTGGTGCCTTTCATTACCGCATACAAAACCTGCAACGAAGGAACGAACCTGCATTAAGTTTAAGAAGCACTAGTACGCATCAAATCCGTAAAGTAAGACATTACTTTAATCTAAACAAAATTTAACCAATAGCCTTACTAAGTTCAAAATCTAATTTTGACGTCACCATTTTCTATTATTTTAATAATTTGTATCAAAAATTAAAAGTCAATATTATTTCATTTAAATAATTTAAACGCTGTCCATAGAAATATGCCAGCACAAAATAAGCTGGGATGAGAATCACAGTTCTTAGATTGCGAGATTTTTTGACTAGTATAGTCATATCTATTTGAACAAAACTGCTAAACATACTAACGGGGTCAATTTTGTAACAGAACCAATATAAGTTTATGTAAGAATAGACCTCGGGTAGTCCAGTGTTGTTTATACTCATTAACACTATATTACGTACGCCCCCTAAAGACACTGTCGTCATCGATCGACCTTTCAGCTTAAAACTGCGGTGAGGGCTAAGAAATGCATCAGTTCATCAGTGTTATAGTAGGCACTAACTCTCTACAGCCCAAATTCCTATCTTAAAATGAATAAATTTGTAAGTATCTAATCAAATAATTATATTAGACTTTAAATCTTTAACAAATACTAAAAACATTTTTTTTTATTTCAAAATTCAAATCATTTCGTTTTATTAAGAAGTAGTCTTTCCCACGTTTATCATAGTTAGCTCTACTCCTAAGTAGCATGGCGTAATGTTAAATAGCCTACAACTTTAAGTAATTTGAAAAGAAAGGCAATAAAATAATTTAAAAACTGAAAATTGCAGTCCAATTAACTTTTTTAATTTACTTTGTATATGTAAAATTAATATTAGAAGTATATGTTTTTACAACAGAAACGGCTGACGTAATGACTTACACTGTTAATAATATATTGATGAATTGACTAAACGTGGTGTACTCTATTAAAAGATTTCTTAACGTTACGATGGCCATGGCACGACATACTAGTCTTTTCAGATGCTTTTGCAGATCATTCGACATGACATTTTAACGAGTTAGTTTAATGAAACATGTAAGACTTAATGCTGCTCATATATTTCCAGGTACTTTACGCTTTCGCACTTTTCGCCGTGGCCGCCGCGGCACCTCAAGGGCCACAACCCGAGGATCATAGCCAGGTGTACATACTAAAACAGGACTCCGATGTCAGTCCCGATGGCTACCAGTTCGAGTAAGTTACTATATGTTGTATTTCACTGACAATACTTTCTAAAATAGATGTTCTACAAAAGAAATTAAAACAATTTTCATATACTCTCGGAGCTACGAGTATATAATTCCCTTATGTTTATGTTAGCTTTTGCTGGTCACCGAGAGGGTAGGTAGTTTAAAAAAATTGAAAAAAGGGACCACGTAGTATGGGTATGTTTCCTAATAAGTAGTGGCTTGACTAGTAATTTGTGTATGAATTACTATCTAACTTCTATCAAATTAAGATACAAATTTGATAACACTAATGTTTCTTTTTTTTCTTTTTTTAAAAAGACAACTCCCGCACTAGGAATAAATCCTGTGTCGCGGGGGACTTTACAAACATACATGAAACGGACTGTTTGTTTGCAATATGTGTAATGTTATACGTTACTAGACGTTGTCCACAGTTTGAGGTACACAACTATGATTATACGAATAAAGCCGTAACTTTTCTTAATAAATAAGTTGTCTAACGCGGAATGGTAGAACAGGAGCCTGAAATTACTGTAGAAGAGAAAAAATCGATCATCAAAAGGAATATGACCAAAATATGATTATTTTTATTACAGTTTCCAGACCAGCGACGGTACATCTCGCCAAGAGAAAGGCACCTTGAAGCAGCTGGATGATGGTAACCAGGCTCTCGAAGTCACCGGTAGCTACCAATACGTAGCACCTAATGGTCTAACCTACGCGGTTACTTTCACCGCTAACGAGAACGGCTACCAAGCCCAGGAGCACAGTTCACAATAATAAACATATATTTATAAGTGAAATTAGTTACTCAGTCACAAGAATAAGCATCTTAGTTGAGACTTATAATCATATTTCGGTTTAGAGCCTAGTGTGAGTTTATTTCACATCAACCAGCTCTCGAAAGCGACCGCGATCGGTGAAGATTTTAATGCGGGCCAATCGCAACGCCGAACGCAGTCACCATGACGATCGAGTTGATTAGAAATAAACTCGCACTAGCAGTACAACATATTTTTGTGACTGAATTAACATTTTATCTCTCAAAAGCTATCTTTAGTAATGTTATATAATTTATCAACAAGTCTTGAAACATCTCAATGAAGTCGATCGGTCCATTTCCCCAAAAGATCAAATGTAGGCCAATTAGCTTGGTTTTGTAAGTCTTATTTTGATCTAGTCCATGTTTAACCTATCAACTTTCTAAGTCTTACTACATAATTGCATAATATGTTACACGTGGTATTACATTATTAGTTAAGCAATTGGAAACCAAATATTTGGTCAGAATAAAAGGGTCTAGCGTAGGTTTTACTGCGCATTGACAATGATCACGGCGATTTGTGTAAACTTTTTTACAAACTTTTGTAAATATATTTTATTTTCTGTGTGATTTGTTATTTTTTTATTTATAGCTAGATTAATCTGGCTAATAAACCGTATTCTATTGAAGCAGATTTTAATATATATTTCATATTTTTATTTAATTTCCTAGACTTTAATTCCCTGATTTAGAAAAATCTGATTTACAATTCTTTCAAGAAGAGGGAGACTTTATGGCATTTTGTTGCCGTAAATCGCATCAAGTAACGTAATAAACATATTAAACATGATTTTTTTTTTGCAGATAGCAGAAACGCTTATCATTCCTTTTAAGAGCAATATATTCCACAATTTAATTTTGAATAGTAAATTATTAAACTACTCTCAAAATGTATAAACTTGTAACAGTTATTTTTTTAGTATATTTGTATTGCGTACGGAGTTGTAAACAGCGACACCTATTGCCCGCGTCGCATTTTTTTGATTTATCTAAAGTAGTTTGTAACTATAGTAATGATGTTCTTCGTCCGCCATCGGACCACTAGATGGCGTTGTTTTATAGGTAAGTCATTGTATTAATTTATCCTGACAAATTGTATTGGTGTTAAAAGTGTCTTGTTATGGTAGGAAGCGAGTTACTTTTGATTTGGTTCGTGTTAACCTCGTTGATAGCTTGAGTGACAGTTTGAAATGACTAAAGTAGGGATTCTTTCTAGAAACTTCACAAACCGAACATATATAAGTCCGGCTTTCAGCCACAGGGGACACTCTGCTACTTCTTGTCTTTCGATCTTAAATAGTATTTTGTTTGTCTGGTGATTTCATCTTAGTAATATTTTATCTGTTCGAAGTACCCACGCCAGTGGTGAGTATATTCATAATTTTCTTGTACTTATTTGTTTCTGGAACCTGATCGATAATATGAGTGCTAATCCATTCGTAGGGCTCCAGATTTCGGGCCAAGACAATCAGTCTCAGACGGCGTGCTTTTTCGTTTGTGGCCTTCTGGTGCGAAATCAAGTTTCTCAGTACCCTCTGGCAAACTGGCAGTCACGCGGCTCACCAAGCAAGCGGACAGCCGTACTCAAGGGTTACGTACTTCTCATTAACTTTATTAATATCAACATTGAACCTTCCTTTATACCTAATATAAATAGCCGACTCGGGCGGAAGGGAAAGTGACCTCCTGGATTGAAGACGAGGAGGCTCCGAGCAGCATCAGCTCGCCTCTGACGCGCGCCGCTGCGGTTTTTTTATATACCCACTAATTTATTTATTTTTTATTATTGTAACTTTTTTTTTTTTTGGAAATATACATGTATGTATGACTGAGGTGTAAGTTGTCTTTCTCTAAGGAGTCCCGTAGGTTTCCCACACGCACACACTTCTGTTTTCTACAAGGCGCCCTGAGGTAATCTCGTGAATCTCTCCACTGGGTAAGCCGGTGAGTAGTCCGCCTGACAAGAAAAGCGGCTACAAACTACACAACAGTATTTTCGAGCCGTTTCACGTAATATATTACACCTAGTGATGAAATCGAATAAGGTTTAATTTTAGTTTGGATTCATCCTACCTTAAATACCATTAGGAGCAGGCTTTGTTCACCATCCTTTTCTTCCATGAGGTAGGTAGGACCACAGCGGACGGCGAACTCGGCGAGACACAGAAGCAGAGAGCCCGCCAGTGGCTTCACTGAGTCGCGGCCGCTGCTCGGCGATATTTGTGCTAAGCATGCACATATCCACTTTATTATTTTACCTAAGAAACAAAAGATAACGATGTAATATATGTATTTATAAACCTTACCGCCACCTTTACCTGTATGCATATTCATTTTTTTTTTTTATCAGTCGAATAATTCTTACCGGCTAATCCAGGATATTGCTCAACTATTCGGTCCGTGTAGTCAGCCAGCACCAATATACAATCACTTACCACCTTTGCAATGTTCTTGTTTTTCATCTGAAAATATAAACTGTACATATATAAAAGCCCGTCTGGCCAGCGTGGTATAGTAGGCCAAAACCTCCTTTCTAAGGAGAGGCTTATGTCCAGCAGTGGACTATTAAAGGCTGTTGATGATGATGATGATGACATATATAAAAAACACTAAGTACAATATTCCAATAATTAGAAATTGACGATTAGATAAAGTTAAATATTTAGTTTAATTATAATATCGTCCGGTATATAAAAAGACTGCCGGTCCGGCGGCATAAGGTGGAGTAAAGTAAATAATTAAATATTAATAAGACATTGAAAACACAAACAAATGTATACAGGTTGTTACAGATATGTAAAGTTTTAATTTAGGCAATAAGGAATATGCACGCGACAACAAAATGGACAAAATATTTATATTTGTAATTTTTATTGCTAAATAAAGATACCCATTCAATTATTTTTGAAATTTATTATATTTAATAGTGAAATTTAATCATCAAAAATTGGCTTTTTTAAAATTCCCTCGCAAATTTCTAAAACGCAACGCTATTGGTTGAAAAAAACGTGACGTCAACCCACACTGTCAAGAGTGTCAACAAGTTGTGTGTATTTGTAATATTTGGTTTCTGGTGATTTTTGTTTCATTTTAAGTTAATAACTAATACGTTTTCAGTGTTTAATTATTAAATTTCCGTGTAGAAAGACTCAACACAATGACTGAATATACTTTGTCAGGTGCAGTTTTGAAATTATGTGGGCGGGCGGAATTAAAGGAACGGCACAATATTTATAATAAGTTTTTATTGGCTTTTCCATGGTCATAAGTTAATTTTTATAACTCACTTTTTTAACTTTTACAAACTTTGTGAACTTCACTCCGTTGTTGACATCGAATTCGTCTGAAAGTGTAATCTGACGTCACAAAAAAAGCGCGCCAAAATGGACGTGTTCAAATTGCCCCAAAATGATAGTGATTTTAATAAAATTTTTTGCTTAACGGTTTATATTTCGGATGTGTTATATTTATTTTTGGTAATGTAATAACTAGTAGAATCGTTTAAAAAAAAAAAATACATGCATATTCCCTATTCATGATTTCAAGATAGACAAATTATTTTGGCACTGATTAAAAAGCTAATATTTCGAAAGAGAGGGCTGACACGATGGAATTGTAGGTATTTTACTACTACTACTGTACTAGGTGCGCCCCGCGGTGTTACCCGCGGTCGTTGTTGTACCTTGCTCATACCACTAAAACACTACATTTTTTTTCGGGATAACAAATTGGCCGTTTTTGCGTGGAAGAGTATGTTATACTATTGTATGGATGTTTTATAATATTAAAGTAAGATGTTGATATAATATGCACTCTTTTGCCTTTTATCAATAAGAAAGCTTTTAATAATTTTATTAAAAATGTGTTACTTCACCGGCAAAACTTTTTCTGAGAAAAAAAATTAAATATATTTTCTTTAAAGTCTTTTGACCTTTAATAGGTTAGGTAACCAAGCAATATGAGCAATATTTTGTTTGTGACGATAATAGTACCATAAAAAAAATGTTCACGTAACCGAAGTGGGGTAATAGTTGGCTTGAGTTACGTTAAGTTACGATTGCTTAATAAATTACAATTAGGATTGTGTTTGCTCTTTTCTTCATATATGTAGTCAACGCAATAAAGTGATGATATAATTATATTTACCTATACAAAGTGATGCTTGAGACTTACAAAAGCGAAAGCACTATAGCGTTTAGAACACTGACCTGACATACAGTTACTAAACGTGTAGAAGTTTTAGTTATTAAAAATACTTAGATCAATAGTGACTAGAATCTATGAATTCTCTACAACCTTCACACGTTATATGAAAAAAAAAATCATCTGTTAGCTTATGTACGGTGATTTATAATTTTAATTACACTGTTGTGTGCTAACTATTACTACGCAGTAAATAGCTTTTTGGGACTTTGTAGTTATGAGAAATCAGTCGAAGGCCAGCATGTCTGGATATGAATAAAACGGCCGCTCATGTCGTCCCGGTCCCAATGATCGCACCTACGAATGCGAATGCGATAAACATAGTAAGTATATCAGAAGAACGGTAACCATAAGCATCTGCAGCAGGCAGGTGACGTAGGCAGGCAGGCGCGGCGCGAGTGCGCGCGTGGCCAGCACGTGCGCCACGTGCGCCGTGAGCGCGCAGGCGCCCGCGCAGCGCGCCGCCGCGCCGCCCTCGCGCCGACACACGCGCACCACTATGTTCAGCACGTGCTCCTGCGCATACATATATTATTCAATTAAAAAATACTGAATATACACACAAAGTGGCTAGTATAAGTCTATAAACATATTGAATCCCTAAAACGAGTATATATTATTTATTTTATATTAACTTTACATTACAATTGATAAAGTTATTTTTCCAAAAGCAATGTAGACTTTATTTTCAGTTCAGTAATAGGTAAAAGTGAAACGTGGGCTAGACACGAGACCACGACACCACTGCCTGCGACCTAACTACGTACCTTGAGATCCGGGCAGGACACGGTATTGTATTGGTGTGGGTAGGGTTGTAACATAGGCGCGTTCATTAGGCCATCCGGTAATGACAGCAGCGAGCCCAAAAACGTCACGGCAGCCGTACGGGGACACTAGAGAAAATAATAATTAAATGCTGCTAAAAAACAAAAAAAAAATATTGTCGTTGTAGTTCAATTATGAAAAGCTATATTAAAACAACTCCAATGACACCTAATGCTCGTACATCCGCTTCTGCTCTGGTTAAATCATATCGACTCTCTTTACATTTTTTCCGTTTCTTATTTGTTCTTAAAAATAGTAGGCGAGTGTATACATATAAATCAACTTGGGTTTATACCTTTTACTTCATATTTTTATTATATACAAAAATAAGCTGCATGAAATAGACCAATTGTAATGCTTAATTTGAAGATACACTAAACGAAAATTGATATTAGGTAGTATCTATTATCTAAATGCAAAAACATTACGGGTCGAAAACAAATAGCTTACCGAAGGTCCCATGTCAGATGAGTTGAGCACCACGGTGGAAGCATGAACGAAGTCGAGCAACAGCAGTGAGTATCCATCAAGAGCTAACGATAGATACCTTGGTGCCGCATGTTCGACTAACACGTCCACTACAGAACGATCTTCGCCTGTCAGTCCTGTGAAACATACCAAAAATTACCTTCTCATCCTTTTTTATTAGGAACTTTTTCCCCGCGGCTCCGCCCGCGTTAATGTCGGATATCGAGGTAAAAAGTAGCATATGTCTTTCCTCAAGAATCTAAGTATTTTCATACAAAATTTAATCTAAATCGGTCTACCTCTATAGTAAATTTCATCTAAATCCGTTCAGCGGTTTAAGCGTGAAGTACCTCTTCACTCTTCAGACAGAAAGACAGACAGACGTTTAGACGTTAGACGTTAACTTTCACGTTTAGAATAGTAGTATGGATTCCGATTCGCCATTCGTGCAGTCAAACCAAGTCAGTTAGCCGTAGAAAGTCCACTGCTGGACAAAGGCCTCCTTCAATGACTTCCAAGAAGAAACCAAAATTAACCCGGATTTAACCCGAAGACCGGTTGACATAGTGGTCAGGGAACCAAGGGAAGTTCTTTTTTTTCATAAGTAATAGTATTCCGCGGTGGGCTGTTGCCAAGCTGAACAGGGACCTACTAGAAGAGGCATCCATCATTCACTCTAGACTGTCTCCGCAGGAACCGACCGAGGAGGTCGACATGAGGGCTGGTTGCTTTCGTGATGCGATTACGCAGATTTACGATAAGGCCATGTCCCGCATCCGAAGTTGTCGGCCTCCACGGAAGGAGGCCGACAACTTCGGAACTTTGGAACTCTGAAGCTGGCCATTATCCGCGCCAAAGAAGTAAAAAGAAAAGAGATGCTGGAAGGTCGCGATGTGAACCCTGGGGTCGCCTCTATCGTGCGGTGCAACAAAAGCTCCGCGCGTCGTCTTCTTGCAGGAAGTGGTTGAGGGCCTTTTCCCGCAACGGGCAGAGCACACACCCCCGTCAATGGCCTCCTTGAACGGAGATGACGGGGTGCCAGGAGGACGGTGTTCTACACGTCACAGATTCGGAGATAGGGGCGGCTGTTCTACGGATCCGTTCCGAGGCAACCGCCCCCGGAGCAGATGGGATCCCTGCCCGAGTGCTGGCCCTGGCCCACCATCACATGACAGACCGCCTTGAGGAGGTGTTCGAAGCTAGTTTGGCGGCCGGACGCTTCCCTGAGTGCTAGAAGAGGGGGAAGTTGGTGAGGAAGTCGGGACGGTCTGCCGATTCGGTCGCGGCCTACAGGCCCATCGTACTACTACGACGAGGCGGGTAAATTGTTTGAGAGGGTCCTCTCTGCCCGCATCGTCCGGCACTTGCGCGAGGTCGGCCCTGATTTGTCGGACGCCCAATTCGGCGATTAAACGAATGAACTTTCAAAAAGTAGTATTTTTATGAATAGAGCAGTCGAAATTAATGATAGGCTTTAATTTGTAGACGTACCATGATGCAGCGCTCTCTGATAAAGGTGTAAGTGTGCCAAATGCAGACGGTTGTTGCACGAGGAAGGCGCACCGGGACCCTGCGCTTGCGTCGATTCGCACAGTAGACGTAAAGCCAGCAACTTCCCTGCCCTAGATACAATAACAATATTTTTCATAGTTGTGTTACACCATTCACTCTGCTTCTCCACTCTTTGAAAAAGAACTCTAGGGCCGTAAGTAGTCAGTCAATAATAATAGTAATAGTGCATGTGTAATATACGTTCTCCAAAACTCAGTATAGCTCTTTGTCATCTTATGTGTGTATACCTAAAACAAACGATTGTACTAAAACAATCAGTTGTTTATTTTTTAAATCACCATGACATAAGAGGAACAGATGATGGTAAAGAAATCATAACACAAGCTGTTGTATGTTACGTTATCGATTGAAGGTATTTGTCAACCAATAACGATGTTTTTTATTTATTTATCACAAAGTTTTGTATGTAATGAGAATCTGTCATTTGAAATTACATTACAACAATACGAGTTGTGATCTATCTACCAAAAAAAAAAAATCTAATAAGTCAGGTTTCGCAAACTTTTGTAGGCGATGAGTTTCAAGGTTTCAGTTATGTATCCAAATGCAAATACAGTATTAAAACTTATATTTTCATTTATATTTATGTAAAAACTGTTTTTGTTTGTTTGTTTGTATTGTATGCGTTGCCGTGCCGTTCGTCTTGAAATTGTAAATAAACATTGATAATAAAGGGACAATTACTTGATAATTTTGGAATTTGGAAATTATACGTGATCAAAATATTTTTTCTGTGATCAGGTGATCACAGACAAAATATGTTTTTTTTTTAGTTTAATGTACCTTTCGGGTACAATTTATTCAATTAGTATACATATTTAATATTTAAAATAACTACTTTGGTGACCTCTGGTGCATGGATTAGATTTCTGAAATACTAAAAAGTAGTTTTCTCTACAAACTGTTTTCTGTTAGCATCACGTAGCAAGCAATATAAGTAGCAATATAATTTCTAGGGCGGTTAAAGCATGCATGTGTTTAGAGGTTCTGTGGATTTTGCTTGGGTTAAGATACCGAAATGTGTTAGGAAAAGTAACAGGTTCTCTTTTATTATTGGGGAATACGAAAATAATAAATTAGTAACATAAATCTGTAAAGGAATATAATAGGTACATCGTATTCAATTAGTGTCAAATTAAGACTTTGTGCACATGTTGTTTTTTTTTGGATTCTGAAGTATAAAAACAAGTCTATGTAATAAAAAAATAAAAAGAAACGACTGCAAAAAGACAATTTAAATGAACTAATTAAAATATGGTCATAATTTACCGTTTTAAAATCCTTATGATGAGCCCTTCAATTTGATACCTATATCGCAGTATCCAATTTTTTTTTTTTTAAACTATAGCGTCTCACAGTCGTCATGTTGTTTTTTTTTCGCGTCACCTATCTAAGAATAATTGGGTTACCGAGAAGAATCTAACGATATGTTATGTAATTAAATAAATCCGTCTATCGTTTTGGAATGAGCACATGAGGTAATAAAAAATATTACATGCATACATACATACAAGATACGCGCGAAAAACATAACCATTCCTTGGCAGTCGTATAATAAATTCATCAACACTTATTCTATTAGGATTATACAAGACAGAAGTCCGTTAACAATGCCTAGATTTTAGAATACTTATGATGAAACAGACCTGTGGGTTGGTGGCAAAGCTTCTGCCTCGAGGCACCAGCCCGCCACAAGGTTGAAGGGCACGTGGATTTCCGTGTTTCCATTTAGGGTTTGGTTTGCGCTAATCTGTAACAAACACAACTTGTCACTAACAAACTCACTAGTATTCGAATTAACATTCAGGTTTAACAAATATTGCCTCTGCAACATCTCGTTCGCCTTCTAACGACAACTGTCGAAGATCGTTATTGTTAAACTCATTTTTAAATTCCATAATATTGTTTAATATTTATACGTAAGGCTATCAATTTCCTTCTCCGCTGTCAAAACAATTGATACTCAAACAATTTTTAACTACCCACATTAATATTATTATAAAAAAGCGATTTGACAATGTAAACAAAGACCTTTCTTCTGAGCCTCCTTAGTAATCTTCTTTTTCCTGCTCTTCCTTCGCATGGGCATTCTTTAAATACTTTCGACTGGGACAACAGCTCGCACAGAGAGAACAATACCATTCAAAGAGAAGCGGTCCTCGCGACACAACTCACAATAAAACAATAATAAAGATGTATTTACAAAAAACAATAATGTCGAGATAAATACCAATGATTTGAATTGCGCCATCTGCCAAACATTGACAGATATCGACTGATAACTTGTGCCAGCGCGCCATTATTTGTGATAAATATTAACAGATGCCTCATCTTTGGTGTAACATGAATTATTACATAAGTGTTCATTGAACACACTTATTTAATTTAAACATTCTAAAAGTGTACACTTCCTTGTAAGTCATGTTTTTGTTTACACGATGTGGGTGGGTTTGTGAATGCTCTTAAGTAGCTTCTTAGGTATTTAAATACATTGACTTGCTTTTGGTAGAAGCTATAAAGATTCGAACTGTAAACAATAGAACATTATAAAAAATATTATTGAAATATGTAGTTAGGCGTAGTTGTGCTAGGAATTCTAAATAAAAATGTACTTATATAGCTGTTGTGTTTTAAGTTATTCAAGGATATGTATACTCATGAATATCTTACTACTATCTAATGCCCGCGGGTTCTATCGCTTGATTATTTCTTATTCCGTGTTTCTAACTTTGAAAGTGACGAACATCCTTACAATCGTTCATCCCTTATTTTACCCCCGTTAGGGGTGAAATTTCTAATAATCGTTTCTTAGTAGATGCTTACAACATAAAAGCATAATAATATGGTTTAGGCTCTGCGTTGATGAATCAGTCAGTAAAGGCAAAAAATTGCAAGACACCGTAGGTCATAATATTTGGACTCTTCAAAGCAAAGCAAAAAAATATGTTAAAATTAGATCTCTTCCAGGATCGTTTAGTGTAGACCTAAATACTAAGATGTTATTAAATGATATAAAATCGAATATTATAACTATCGTATGAAATAATGATGAAAATTGTCATACATTATATGACCTTGGTCAGTTTAGGCAGAGAGATAAGTTATGCACTCCTATCCTACCTAAATTCAAGACGTCTGTTTATGAGATTTCCCTTGCTTGAGATTTTGTTTATTTAAATTACACTGTTTCGTACTAAATCACGAAACAATGCGGCATAAATAAAGAAAATAATCTTATCTGTTAAAGAATCTTATAAAAGCATACTTTAACCATACCACGTACTAAGTTCAATTTCAATGTCATTTAGACTTCGTGTTAATATACTATGACAATGAATCATCTGTTTTCTCATGTCGTTTCGTTATATACTTATGACAGATTCTTTCATGTTAACTATACGAACTATGTGATGCAGCCACTATAATTAACATCTGACACACAACGCCATCTCGTTTCAAACTAAGCAGAGCTTGTACTATGAAAACTAGATTGACTGATAGAATACTTATATACTTCTTGTTTTAAATGGATACATATTATACATAGAAAACTCCCAAACTCCGAAACAAATATTCGCAGATCATACAAACAACAACAAAATTTGGTCATCAATTAATACTTATAATATATTTTACTAAAACATTTTTAAGCATAAGTAGATATTGTATTTTAATGATATTTTATAATCCTCTATTTAAATGCCACTACGACGGTTTGGAATTAAAATAATGAAAAGATACACCTTTGCAAATCGCTTTTCTCATCTTTTCATAATGGTAATACCCATTAACACTCGCACTATAAAGAAGAACCAAAAGACATTATTCAACAAACCGTCTCTGTCAGTTAGTAGTTACAATGGAACATAGAAACGGCCAAACTTATAACTGTGATATAGCTCAAAGAGATATTTTAGGTTGCGTCGCAGCCGAGTATTAAAGGCATTTTTATTACCCTTTCAGACCTTCAACTAACACCTAATAAAATCCACTAAAAACATAACAATATTGTTTATAATTACAGTAAACCAGCAAATTGACAAGAACATATTGCCAAATAATATGTTGGCAAAAAAATAACTATAATCTATGACTGTATATGTGTAATCTGTGTATGTAGATGATGATAACTTTTATAGACAACACTGGACGCAATAAGTACCTAGCACGGCATTTTTTTTACAAAGTTTCTTTACTTTATCTTAAATTGTTGTAATTAGCCTTGTCTCATGTTGGTCTTCATTAGAGTAATTAATAAATACTAAGAAATTAATCTAAACTCACAATAAGCGGACAATGAATGTCATTTCCTTATAATTTGAAAATATATTACGTTTTTTGAGGAAATGATTTATTTATTTTTACTATAATAAATTTATTATTATAAAATTATTTTAATTTATTTATTTCTTTTAATAATGTATTTTAATAAAAACAAATAAATAATTTCCTCAAAAAATGTAATATATTTTCAACTACCGATATTTATACCGATGCCAATGGCCACTCGATGGCATCTCAATAGCGTGTCAGTGGTATGACACTGGCTTGGCGTAAACATAAAATAGAAGAATTGAGGCCCCGGTGGGAGGGGGGCCTACAAACGCTCCGTCTTTAGTACGCGGTCGCCACTCGTGTAAATAAATAAATCGGACACTATCACTTTTTTTCAGAAGTTTTTTACTTAGGTTATCCTAAGCAAAAAACATCATTCTAAATAAACAGAGGAGGCCGTTGAGAACACAATATAGTCGGATATGAACATTTTTTCACATTGCTTATTATACTGCTGTTTGCTATATTCCTGTTATTGTTTATATTTTAAACATAACAATTGTCATTTTCATTAGGAGGTTCCCGCCAAAGTATTTTAAAATTATGGGTGGATCTTTTTCAACTTGGGTATTGAAATAGAGACATAACACAACTTTATTATAAAATATTTGACATCATTGGTTAAAGTCCTGACCAGTACGCGAACCCACTCCTAACACAAGCAATTTAGCTTAGTGGGAGGGGTTAACGAGAATATTAGTAATTTCGGTTGCTAGTAGATCTTTTAAAAAAATGGCTTAAAATGCAGTTTTTACAAAAGAACATAAACAGTATAGGTATACCTATTTCAGTAACGTTTCTTCTTAAATAAAGATGATTAATTTATAAAACGGTTGGTTTTATTAACTACTAATCTTTATTTTATTATACGAAAATATTTTTGTACTAACATGAACTCATCCTTTTTTGTTCTTTATTAATTTCTGCCTAACTGAAGAATTTGAAGATAATCCGAATAAACACAAAGCTACATTAATTTCTTTTTAATATCTTATCATTTTAGAAGCAGTTTTACATTTTTTACCACGCTCTTGTTAGCTTGGTATGTATTTATCTATATAACGGAATCTTAGAACTTGATTTTCACCTACTTAAAAAACGTCAGATTGAATTCAAACTTCACACAATGACACTTGATGACGATACAATAATTTGATAAATTTGTCCGATTATCCTGCTCAGGATCTTGAGGATTTTTTTTTTTTTTTTTTAATATTGTACCACATTCACACAACGCCATCTAGTCCCAAACTAAGCAGAGCTTGTACTATGGGTACTAGACAACTGATATAAATACATATATACTTTTTTTTTGTAAATACATACTTATTATACATAGAAACATCTAGACCAAATCAAACATTAAATGTTCATGCACACAAATGTTTGACTTGAGCGGGAATCGAACCCGTGACCTTTGGAATAGCAGTCCGTTACACAAACCACTACGCCATTCGGTCGTCTTAATGGTTTTTCCATACTAAGGTATACGGTAATACGTTAGGTCTTTTGCCAAGGCATGTGCTGAAGCATATGAGACTGAGAAAATAATCATCAGTAATGATTTAAAAAGCAAAAATAAATTTTAATTTTAAGAAACCAAATAAAACCCGCTTTTGTAACTAGCCGAACTGAAAAGTAGAAAATAATTTCATGTGGGATCACAAAGCAAAATAGCGTGGGGAACTTTGCAAGATATTTTATAATTTTATATAATAAATTTACTTTAATAAATCTGTCAATAATATATTTTTACATTAATTGAGATCTAGCAATAGAAAATTATTTTCTTCTTTTTAGTTCTACTTGTTACAAAAGCGTATATTTTTAGTTTTTAAAACTATAATTAATTATGTTTAAATGTTGTGGTTTCTATATAGTTCAAAAGTTAGTTCCTGTTTGTTAATTTGAACGCTGTAATCTCAGGAACAACTAGTTTGAATATTATAAAGCTGACGAGTTTAGTTGAACGCGTTAATCTCAGAAACTACTGATTCAAATTAAAAAAATATCGAGAAAGGCGTAGCGTAGTGTGTTTTTCATTGACATTTTTCATTAATGCTCGGCTCTTATTGGATACGACCATCAGTGAAAAATGTTCTAAAAACGAGGAAAACTTAGTCTTTTTGAGGGACGTAGACGAAGTGCGCGGGTCAGCTAGTAAAAATAATAAAAGAACCTGAATTACGTCATATCTTAAAGTGATAGGAATGATCAGTCAGAATGTGGACAAGACCCACCTTAAGCAGTGTAGTGTTGAGGTGTATGAGATAGTTGTAGAGGTTGGCGTGCGCGTGCGGGTCGCGCAGCAGGTTGGGGTCGCCGAGCGCGGCGAGCATGCGGCGCCACATGATGGCCGCCACGTCGGGCAGCCAGCCGCGGGCGCGCCCCCCCATCACCACGCCGATGCCTTCCCCGCCCGCGTCCGAGCCCAGCCCGACGACGCCCTCGCCCGTCTCGTTCTCCGTCCATTCTGAATAACGCGATGTTCATCTCACACAAACCATATAAAGACACTTTAACATTGTTTGAGTTTAATCGCAAAATGTCAGTCATTAAATAACTATAATTACTTTCGTAAGTTCTACATGAACAGACATAGTGGTATGTATATATCTATCTTCTGTAAGTGGAGATATTGTTTTCTTATATTTCTTGCACTTTTTGACAGAAGGGTCATCAAAAGCCTTTAATAGTCCACTGCTTGACATAGGCCTCTCCTTAGAAGGGAGGTTTTGGCATACTACACCACGCTGGCTAGACGGATTGATATAAAGTTTGTTTCAAGCTTGCCTTCTCTTTACAGTGCTGTTATCTTGTGTAGGTTACCGCCTTAGTCGGCTCTTAAAATACCCAAGGGATAAATACCGGTGGTGACACTCAGTATTCTTAATCCGTCGTCAGAAGGCTGGTTTATAAAAACTAAACAAACTTATTATAAAATAATAACTGATAAAAGTTGTTCTAAACGGATGCCGAGAAGTATATAATCTTACCGAATACTGTCTTGACTTGATTACTTAAATACGTAAAGTTGGTAGTAAATTAAACAATGTTTTTAAATTTGATTTTAATTGGAATGAAGATTCCAGTAGAAATGGAAATATGTACTAACCAACATTTCCACCATCAGAAGCTAAATCGATTTGCAGCGGAGAGTCTTTAATAGAACTGCTTTCTAAGCCGCTCGAAGGAGCGGGGGACGGCGAGCGGGAACCTGAAAATTATCCAACGTTATTTTTTTTATGTAAAACTAAAAAAGCTACAAGAATTGATTTGGAACTCACCACTCGCTGAATCGCGTTCCTCCTGTTGTGATGAATTCCTTAACGAGTCCAAGGAGTACCATCTCTTTGAAGGTTTATCACTTAAGGGTTCTTTGGTTTCTACAGTACAGAAAAATATATTAATTAACAATTTCTAAGATTAAGATATATATATTAATTTTGACATAAGTCCTTTGTATCTCTCAATACACATAACATGTAAATTCGTGTTTGAAAACCCAAAATAAAAGTTAAATTTAGAATAGACCACACTCAGATTGTGTTGTCTTACAACCCCCCGAGAATTATCGCAATATTTATATTAATTTCATATGTTATTGAATTCTACAATGACTATTTACCTGCATGTAGTTGAGACTGTTTGCTAAGATGCGGGTCACTTCGACACCTTGTCAATTGCCGTCGCGTGCTACCTGTCTCCTTTCGTGCATGTGACTCGTGGACCGATTTCGGCGATTTGCCTGTGAATATAAAATATAAGTAATGCAAGAGAAATAATTACGTACATTTATAAATTTGAATCGTTAAATAAACAAAATAAAGTGTATAGGAAATACGAAAAGCCATAAAACCTATTCATGTAGCTGTTTTTATATTTGTTAGGAGTGTATTAAAGCCAGGACAGTGAGGTTTATCGTATCCCATACCATATAAAGATCAAAGTTACAATAGCTTACTGATTTGAAAAGTGAGATTCAAAACTACTCGTATAATTAAATCTATATACACATAAAATTAGGTTAGTCTCGGAACGTCCATCAGAAATATACAGGTTGTTAATTCAAAAGTGTGAAATTGAGTTCAATCGAATACATACCGGGTGTTCTTGTGTTGATCTGATGTGCCTGAGTGTGGAGGGCGTGCGAGGGGCGCGACAGGGGCGCAGGGGCAGGGGGCAGGCGCCGCCCGCCCCGCCCGCGCTCCCCGCTCACACTCTCCGACAAGTCCAGCGAGTATACGTGACGCGCGAGCACACGGGTTAACGTTTCCATTGTTTTCTGCACAAACGACATAATGTGATCAGAACTATAATGTTGAAAAAGAAATTAAATTGCTAGTTATTAAATTGCCAAATCTTCAAGACATGGATCGTTTATTTAGCTTGAATTAATCTAAGGCAGAAAATTAAATAAAAGCGCGTTAAAGTTACTAACCTGAAAGATTACATGAATTTTAATTTAATTACAATGGGAACAAGGATACCATGAAACTAAACATCTTTGAATTTTAATATATATTTCTATAGACATTTACCAAAGTTAATTGTTGATATCTACAGCGACATATAAGTTATATAATTCTTTTAACGACGTTAGGGTTGTCTGCTGTTAAAGAATAATATGTTACCAGTTGTCATGTGGACTCTTTCAACCTCTTCCACACATCCAGTCGTCAACAGTAACCTTTATGTCAAGTTATATATGGTAACGTCAAACTAAATATATCTAAAATTATCTTACCGCCCATTCCTTGATAAGATCCTCCCAATGAGTGAGTCGCGACAGCAACTCCATGAAATTCTGCCACAATTCCGACTTCACTGCTACATTAAGGTTTGCCTTTATCCACGTCACTATAAGAGTCTGGAACAGGGCTGGTGCAAGAAAGCCCCCTAAAATTAATTAATAAACCTATAACCTCAACTTAAGTTATTATAATTATTAGTGTATTACTTATGAAATTGTTTTGATTATGAAATGATTTCTATTGCAATTGACTGAGTAAAGACCTGCATCAGTTCGAAATTAGGTTGAAATAAGGTTGGCAATGCTCAAATGACAGTATTGTGTTGTGTATCAAACAAGTCATTTGTGTATTTGCAACCTTACTTTGTAATTTCTTAAAAAAATTAGTAATGGCTGTCATGCCCCGGGGGTCATGCAAGACTCAGTGCAAATACTTGGATGACTAAGTACATTTGCATTGGTCTGTATACTGCTATGGATGATATGTTTTTACAATAAAAAATAATAACTACATATGTTTATCCATGTTCAAAAATTCATAGTACAAGTTCTGCTTAGATAGAAATGCTAAAAAGTTCAAAGTCATTTTTCTTCCCCTTCAGGGAAGGCTCGAACCTACTCGAAGCTTCTAGTAATACAACGTGAATCGATATTCGATCGATCGATATAACGAGATCTGTATTTCGGGGAAGTATAATTACTGCATAGAGATCAAAATTTTTCTTGATTCTTTTGTTATTTTATTATTAATTTTTACCTCGAATTCTGAGTTTAATAGTATAATTTACATAAACTAGTTTAAATCATATGATTAGTTATATTAACTTACCTAAAGATTCTTGCTTCCGTTTTGGCGGTACTTTGGTAAGTACCAACGATGTTATTTGTAAAAGTACAAGCAGCAGTTGTTCCCTAAAAATATAAAAAGTCAAATTAGTTTTTATCATCTTGTAAAAAACTTGCCTTCCAACTTGTCATTGCCGTCCTTCAGCAAATATTGACCGGCTCGACCAGAGTTATACCACTCCTCATACGAAACCGATATTGTGAGGCTAATGGAGACCAAAACGTCCGGTTCTCCATTTGGGAGGGCTGTAACGCACTTGTGACTCTTGTCTTGTAGGTGCCCACGGGCGGCGGTAGTCACTGTCCGGTGACCTGTCTGCTCGTTTGCCCCTGTACCATTAAAACAATAAAAAAATATGTGGTAGAGTAGTAGGAATCGTGGTTTACTAAGAATCCCTTACCATGTATTAGCGTCCATAGCAACATGCATAACCATATATCTATATATATTGAGCACACGCTTGCAAGTGTCGGTCTGTTCCTCCAGTAGCTGTTGCTGGCTCAGCGCGCCGGGCGGCGCCACTGGCGACGCCGACGCTAAGAACACATTCGCAGCTTGTGTCATGAATATTTGTAGAACATTCTAGAATAAAATAAAAACATTAAAGCGGGTAAAAGTAGTTAACTTAAGTTTTGCTCAAGATTTAAAATGAGTTTGACACAACATTACGAGGGATGATGTTAAACTCTGTAACTACAAAACACAAAAAGCTGCAGGAACCTCTTTACATATACCCTTGAGCGCTATTATGAAACGGCGCAAATGATTATCTTTCATAAATTCATTTCAAACATGGATTTGAATTTTGAGCGAATTATATAATAACTATGTATTACTAAAAATATTATAGTATTATCTAAATAACTAATAATCTTACCTGCATTCCAGCCCTAACCATGACATTGTCCCGTCCAAGCGCTCCTAGATAGGAGTCATTTCGTAGTCTTCGCAGCGGCATGGCCGGTTCGCCCGCAGCCTGCTGTTCGAATGTATTCTCTACCAAAAATGGAGGAATCTCTGCTACCTAAGAAAACGTAGGAAACTTTATTTTGCTAATTTTTTAGGTAATATACCTCAGACTTTTGATACAAATACTTAAAAAAGTACTAGATGTGAGAATAGAAGTATTATAAATCAATGAGTGTGGTTACAGTATTTTAGTTTACAGCAAGTATATTATATTTGCAAGAAGAAGCATTTGATTTTTTGATATTTTTATGTAGTTTCCAAACTTCTGTTCGGGACTTCGTCCACCTTTACTTGACCTGAATACCTTTTATTTTATTTTTTGGTAATCTCTTAGGAGCCAGACATTTTCTTATCTCTCTAGTTAATAGAGATAATTAATTGTGTAAACTCGTGTGCGAAATTTACGCGTGATTGGGCCATGCATATTTTCATTCTATGTTAGGGTTAATGTGAAAATATAATTATAGAAAAGTATGATATTGTTAGCAGAAAAAAAATTTGTAGTTTGTGGTATATTGACTTACATTCATTTGTATCCAGTCTTTATACAATGCTATAACTCGTCTCACAGCGGCTGCCTGAGAGAAGGGCAGGAGGAAGGCTTGCCGCAGCACCTCGATTGTAAAGTCTACGTGCTCTCGCGACGAACAACATAACACGTCACGCACCACTTGCTCGGAACTTAACTCTTCATACACTCCTGTGGTAGAAATGTTTTAATTAGATCAAAATACCCGAACAAATTAGTGCATGAAACGACTTCATTTTATACTATCTAAAGTATCGACGAGGAGACGGGTCACCTGATGGAAAGTGACTGTCGCCGTCCATGAACGTCTGACGCTAACCGTAGTCGATAACCCGTTCCACAGATTTGTTGTGCGATGCAAAAAATGTCTCGAAAAGCGCACAGTACTGGAGCGTCAACTATCCAGGTGACGGGGATGAAAATTTTGCAGCGTGGAACGATGGGGGAAAGTTGCAGCCAGTATCGCTGCGATCGGAGATGTTTGGGCTATCGACGATTCGAGTCGCTCTTCGTTGGATGCGGTCCAGAGGGAGAAGCTGGTACTGAGGTGCCCCTGCATAGAGATGAGAACAGTATTCCATATGCGGCTGGACTTGCGCCGCGGTGGGCCGGAGTGAAATACTGCCTCGATCTGTTCAGCACACAGAGCTTCTTCGTGGCTAATTTGACCATACCCTCTAAGTGGCCCCGAAAGTGGACTTCACTCGATATGTCGATGCCTAGGATTCCGATACTGGCTGAGGCTCTCAAACCGAGGTGATACGACAAATGGTATCTTCTTTGCGATGAACGCACTGTCTTTTTTGGGTTGAACTGGACTAGAATTAGTCGGCCCCAATCTGAAACCTCTTTAGCGGATGTTTCAATTGCAGACACAGGTTTGTTTTGACTCGCGATGGCGTACTGAGTACGTTTCGTAACTATTTATTTCTACTTTTCATGTTTTTTTTCTATCTGTACAACAATTAGTACATGTACGAGTTACGTTGTGTGTAAAATTCATATTAACCTCAGACCACATTTTTATTTATGTATATTATAGAATAAGTTACCTGACTCTAAACTAGGATGCGGAGTATTGGACGCTGAATCATGTGATGACGCTCTACTAGAGTCAGAAGGGTGTCCCACAGTAAAAGATGTTTCTTCTTCATGGTGCAGTGAAGCTGCAGGTGTGGGTGTGTTCGAGTGAGGCAAGTGTGAGCCAGTACTTGTCATAGATGATGGTTGGCCCCCATCACTGCCTTGCTTTTTCATGAAGTGCGCGTAATTTGCTACCCATTTGATTAACGTCACCCTGCACAAAACGTAGTCATCTTCCAGAATATTGTGTTGAACTGGTAATTCTAAAAATATAGAACAAATGAGATTTTAGTGAAAAAAACATACATCAATTTATTGTAAGTAGAAGTCATGTGTTTTAATGTCACTTAATTAAACGTAAACTTCATTGATTTCTACAGGATGTTAAAGAATGTAATTTTTTAGCAAATACCGGCTTTAGCTTGAAAAAAAAGATTTTGAAAGAATTAAAACTTCGGAAATTAAAGCAGGGTCAAGGGCAGCCTCTTCCGTTACTAGCCTGCGCCCGTTTCTTTGCCGCCGTCCCTTTAAGGGCTTTATAAACTACTACTACTACTTTACTACTAGTTTATACTACTACTTTACAAAGCTCCAGACTCCCAAGCACTCACTTTGAAATATTGACAGACCATGGCCAGCCAGACACATTCTAATTCATATCATGAATTCTTCTTCTCTTATGAAGAAATTACTGTATCTTTCTGAGTATTCTTTATAATACATCTAACTGTAAAAACTGTATAATATTTCTTTAGAAAAGAACTAAGAACTAAATTTTTTTAGAATATGTTGAATGAATAAAAACGCGATTAGTGATGAAAATACAGTGTATGAAATGTTTTCGACCAAGACTTACCTAAATTAGGTTTGTATAAAGAATTTTTATTATTAAACTGTGGACAGATAATCGGCAAATAATATATCTTGAACTTTTCCAGAAGAAATGCGAAGCATCTCATTGCCTTCGTATGAGATCTGTCTCTCCATTGTATTTTTGTAACTGATGTAGCCATACCATTGAGGAGTATTTCAAAATAGTGTTTCGTTTCATTGTCTGATACTTTTTCGTTAGCACTAGGTGGTAGCAATGGTTGGATTTCAACACTCTGGACTGGGTTTAAGGCATTAGTATCGTGAAAGATGGATGCTGATACGGTAGCTATTTTCCCCATGATACCGGAAGAAGTTTGTTCTACGACAACTTTTTTTGCATTATCAATAGATGAATTGAAGTTTGGGTGGTGCATAATGTCGTCTATACTAAAGTCGCTGGCCTCATTGGCTGCAGTTGAAGTTATGTCCAATGATTTTGGTTTAAGTGGTGATCCGCTTGACAGCATGGTAGGTTCCGGCATTCCAGGAACCAAAGTTGCGAACATTTTATGGACTTCGTTCGGGGCATTGTCTCCAAGTGCTTGATACCATAACAGAAAAAATCTAAAAATAAAACATTTATTTTAAATAATGTCCAGAAACTCTAGAATTTAATATTTCTTTTATGTCATTGGGTTTATTAATTTACCTTATAGCCTCGGCTCTCAGCTTCTGTGAATTACCACTATGGAGGAGCTTTGCAAATATTCTTGTCAATGAGTGCAACTGCCATCTTTTCCCTATAAGCTCCGGAAGCAGACATAATACTTTTTCTAAAAGGGATAATGCCCCCTCCAATTCTTCTCTGCCTGCTTTGTGAACTAGAAAATTAATTGAAAACGTGTTATTTTTACACGTTAATAAGATGTCATATTATGAGTGTTAGGTGAAGCTAGAAACAATGTTGTATAATATGGTAATTAGGAAACTATTATGTGTCTCTTACAGTCCATAACCGATATTTCTAATGATAGGCGTGAGTCAGCCATTGTTATAGGGTATTTTAGGTTTTTCCATCAACAACTATGACAATTGTTAAAATGTCCTTCTGTAGAATTTTAGTTTTCCCAAGCAGGCCTTTAAATTATATTTACCAATGTTAATCCACCTCTGGCACATGGCATATTGGAACAAATATTTTGTAATAATCATGGATATTAATAAATGTAATATGAAATTTTAATATTTTCATGTTGTATATCTGTTTCAACGTGAAGTGCCAGTAAAAATGGTAGTGCTTAAAAATTATATGCTTAGTCTATACTCATTAATAATCCCAAAATGAGTCATGCTAAATTCAGTAGTTAGTGAACTGATGATAATCTAAACACAATGATATCTACTAAGGTCTAAATTTATTTAAAGCACCAATTTTAATGCATCAAAATATAAAAGTAATCATTCCAATGTGTTTTGTTAAATAATGTCTAAAATTGTAAAGTTAAACAACAACACGAAGTGTAAGATAGATTGTATGTAATTGTAATTTGTCTTTAAATGACATATAAATAAGTAAACGAAATTTGTAGATGATTTTTAAACATTATTTAATTTATTCATATGATGGCCACAATATTTGTTGCAAATGAAAGTTTGTCTGATTTATCAAAACACCCAAAACTCACCAAGATGAAATGGAAGTTCTGTACCGCAAAAAACAGAAAAATAATAAGTAAATATGTGTACAAATTTAAGAGCTAGGATCAAGCTCTAGCAGCGTCTACATGGTAAAATATATTAAAATTAATTTGAACGATTACTGATTGTATTTTAAAAATCTATTCATCAGTTAAATGTTTTGAAATATGACCCATGCCAGGTATCTACTAGGCAACAATCGGTTGATATTTGTGTTATAAATGAGCCGGCTTGTTTGCAGTTGGCTATACATTTGGTTAATAATAATTTATTTTCAGACTTGTCTGAATATGCTTTCTTTGAAGTTGACATATTGTCTATGTCAGTGAAGATTCCTATTGGAGCACAAAACATGTTAAAATCTATTAAAAGTTTCTAATACAGATTAATGAATGTCTGTACTATGTTATACTCTATAAGACTTTTCCCGTACACAATAAGATTAATACAAAGATTGGAAGTAGCCCATTACATAAAAGTAGTTAGGATCAGAAAGCTAGCGTATAGTTTATACAAGAAATCAATGTACCCGTTGAAGGGAACCAACATTGTCTTTGTTGGGACTGGTTTAAGTGGGTCTCTCGGTCTAGTGGTTGGTGATTATGCTGTACCTAGTTGAGGATCAGACTGTCATGTGTAGATGTCTCAATTTTTTTAATCATTTATTTACCCTCTGTTGACTAGTGGATACCTGGTAACACTTAATAGCTATGTACTAACAAAGGAGTTAAGTCTATTATAGTAGATTTTGCAGTCTAATTTCTTGAGAAACATAATGTTAAAATAAACAAATTATATGGGTAGGCCTATAGCTATACATGGCCACAAACTATTTTTCAGCTAAGGATACAAAATGGTTGCATCAGTTTGTTTACAAGATAACTTTAACTTTCATTTATGTCCACAGCTTAGGACTAGACCACTAAAAGTGTACTACTCTTGTTGTTTGACTTCCTTTTAGAACACATCAGAAACTACACATCATTATAATTGTAATTTAATGCTTACCTCTTTGTCGAAGATTATTCTCAGCTTGGATGAAGTTGTCATACAGAATAAAGTATACATGACTGAAGTTTCCTTCAAAGTATGTTTTAGATTCATCAATGTCAAAGTGTTCTGAAACAAAGTATATTTTACTTAACAAAGATTTTTTTTCTGGTTTCAGGGGCAAAAGAGTAGGCAGATCACCTGATGGTAAGTAACCACCACTTGCACCTGCAACTCAAAAGTTATAAGAGCATTATGCCCCTTGAGTTCTACTCCTAGAATTAGGAAGAGGAAGGGTTTGGGGCTTTGGTAACATCATTCACTCTGTTAAAAACAACAAATAATTGCTAACATAGGTTTTCTGTGAGGCTGTGGTATTGCTGGTTGAGCTGGTCTATTTTTTTTATTTATTTACACAAATTTATGCACTCTTGTACATCGGTGGACTTAATTCATTCTCTTCCAGTCAACCTTTGGATGGTGTGTGGACGCACATAGGTTGCATTACTATTCACCTAAAATATACACTACCCAACACTACATACTTAGATCTGTATACATTTGTGCTGAAGCATGGCTTAGCCACGAAACAACTTCTTGAAAGTATTTATTTGCTGTTTAAATTATCACTTGTTTACTAAAATAACTCTTAATAAAACTGTGTATTGAGTTGTCAACTCATATTAATCACACCTAGTGATCTTCTACTGGAATTTTAAACAAAACACTTAAATCAGATTGCAAAGAGGAAAGAAAGGCAATTTAATATTTATTTTAATGAAAACTGGAAACAGAAATTAAATTGTAAATATTTAACATTTATTGCTTGCTGTTAAAAAAGATACCCATACAAAATAAATTAGATGAAATTAGGCTTATTGTTACTGCTTATTGGATTGGTAACTGTTGGACCAGTAGGCATGTCATTAAGCCTTTTTAAGTCTAAGATTTAACCTAAAGGCTTATTTTTTTACGAGAATGTTTCATAAATGAGTTTCATTATCAGATTATATGAATTCTCTTAGAAACCTAAACAAACAAATGCTACTTTATTTTTTTTCCTATCACATTTCTTCCCTTTTCCTCAAATCGTTTTGACTCCAGTATGAAAACAGTGTGAAGTCTTATCAACTTCTGTTTGTGTTAACTATTATCTATGCAACAGAGTGTAAAGTATTCACTGTCAACAAGTCAGTAGATAAATCTGATAATACTACTATATGTATAGGTCACTATCTGATAACTATAAAGCAGCAATTTCTATGATTATTATTAAAAATGATCTGTTTATGAGATAATAGAAAAAAAGTCAATTGACAAGGTACCTTCAAATTTATCAATAGGAAAATTACTTATTTGTTTTATGAGGTATAAAAAAACAATATGTTGTGAACATTTAATATTATAATCTTTCCTCATCACATTATTGATGTTCATAATAATCAACATCCTCTTAATAGATATAATTAGAAATACAAATAATATTTATATACACATTTACATCCTTCAGTAACTGTATCAGTTTGTGATACAGTTACTGAATCATATAAAGGGTATAAATAAAGAAAATCCAAACTAAATTAACTATATTTATAAAAGCGTTCAAGGGTGGCGGTAGTCGCTTTTCATCAGGTGGCCCGTATGCTTGTTTGCCCCTTATTCCATGAAAGAAATATATAAATCAGGATACTGACTAGATATTAAACATTCTTCGTCATCTGATTTTTCACCTTACAAACAGGCTTGTAAATAAAGTCATGCTAATTTAGGCTTCTGAAATGTTTGTGTTGCAAAGGTTTAAAAAAAATTACAGCACATACCCTAAAAGGACAAATGAGTGATGATATATGAGAAATAATGTGTTGGGTATGACTAAGCCACTTCAAGTAGTGGATTGGACTAAACATCTGACACTAAATCATATTTTTTTAACATAATTTTAAAAATAATAGTATATCTATTAGAGATAGAGATTATTACTATATGAGCTCTTTATTACACTAATATGAATAAAAAAAAATACATTTCAGAAGTTTCTTACTCTAGTTTTCAAAGAATAGATACATTATGTATTTTATTTAAATAAGATGATACATTTTTTTAGTCTACAAAAGTAAGCAGCGACTGCCATAGTTCATTGAAGTCACCCATAAATCTTATTGATGCATCATTATGTCAGTGATGCACTCCATAAGTGTCTTAGAAATTCAGTTATAGTAAATTCCAATGAGAAAAATGGCACATTAGTTTAGTTTACAGCTATTCCCACATTTAAATTTCATTAAAATTAAACACGACATTTTACTAAAATATAGGCAAAGTGGTTTACAATTCAAATCACATAAAAGTTAGTTATGAGAAATATTACAGTAAGGAGATATTATATGATATGTGTGTGATATATTATTATTCTTATCACTTCATCATTGATATATAAAGTGCTATTGGAAATGCATTTTCTATTATTTAGATCAATAAGATTTGGTAGCAGAAATGAAATTGAGTAGTAAATTCAAACAGTTAAATTGCAGTTATTTAACTATTCATACATTCTCTGTACATAGTAATTAGTACATTTATAATATAGTTAGACTGCAATTTACAGATTTTTAGTTTTATTTAAGTAGTATTTTCTGAATTGTATGCCTCTATTATTTTATTAGTATTAATTCTAAAAAACTGAGGTGAAACTTTGCTACATATTACCACCTCGGGACAATAAACAGTTGTATTGTAAGTTGGGGCTCATCAATTACAGTTATTCTTGACTAATTAGCATGTATGGAATGTGATAGTTGTCGAAGTTAACGAAACCTTATAGCTAGTCCCAAATGTTCAAAAGGAGTGTATTAATAGTAAGCAAACGATAAAATAAATAATTTCATACCTAAAACGATTTTTAAATGCTTCAGTCGGGTTGCAGAATCCTTTTTGGAGTCCTGTATTTTAACAGTCGATTTCTTAACATCTTGGTGAGGTTTCTTAGAAAACATTTCGGCTATGTTTTTATAGTGTCATTACGAAGATTGTTTTCATGCTAGCAGTATAAAATATAGTAAATTCATATTGTTTTCTTTATGTTTTCACTCCCATTTTGACATTTCACTTACATAAAAATCTCGGTTGACGTAAACATTCTGGCTTTCTCGTTCTACGCAGTCATTCAATTTTCAAACTACACAAGCATGAGTTGTAGTTATTTAAATATTTCAGTAAACAAAAATAAATAGAATTCTGCCAAATCAGTATATTTAAAATGTTAACGTAACAAAATATTTAGTTATCAATAGCCACAATTATACTCGTCACAATTCTGAAACACTAGTTCTATGTAAAGGAACGTAACCTACTTTGTTATTGTTAGAGGCAACGGAAATTATGTGTTCTGCCAATATTTTTAAGTAATAATTTAATGTGTAGAAGTTAAATTATGGGATATCGTATATTAATTATTAAGTATATTAAAATTATTATGTTTAAAATGTTGTTCAACAAAAATATATTAGAAGAAAAAGTTCCTTACATTAAGTGATACATATTTTTAATGATCTTTCAAATAATCGATCGTATTAAACCAGTGTAAATTATAATAAATTCACTTTTTTGACCTGACAACGTCTTATAATTCGATGGAGCCGGCTGCACGCACGAAAAAACATGACTCATGCGGCGTTACCTCGCTCTGAGGCGTTCCATTTAAGGCGTGAAGTGCAAGCGAGTGCGCGGAACGAGCGACAAAGAGGCACAATCGGCCTCCGCGTTCGGCAGCGTTCGATATCTGTCTCTCTCCTACTTGAGTGAGCGATGCGTCCGCGTGGACAGCTGCTACTCGTATACAATAATACATTTTTGAAAAATGCAACCATTCCATCAGTATTTTCTTATGACGTTGTCACGTTCAACTATCGTCAGTAGACCGACTTTACAGACAACCGATTTTTTTTCTAAAACTTTGGTCATCACAAGTGTCGTTAGAGTATTTTCCCTAAGGGTTCTACTCCAAGGCCTACTTAGGGATCTAATCAGTGTCCTCGGAGAGTGTGATAGCTTTTTTTGCGGCGTTTGATCTGCTGGTCGATTAGGGTTTCCTGACAGCGTTCTAACCGTTATTGATTAGAGATATTCCCGGGCCAGTACATACCGAGAATTGAGTTAAAGCAACAGTCAATGAACACTTGGATGTCGAAGTGATGTCTTCTTCGGTCCCAGTTTCTGACATAATGTTCCCGAGGTAAGTAAAAACCCAGATCGCATATTTTGGGTCTTCCGAGTGTTGATTTAAAGCCCTGTAATATGAACCTCTCGGTGCAAGGCGTCCAACTTGGATTGCATGTCGCGGTGTGGATGTGGAATGAAATGTAATATGGATACAGTTGTATTATTTTAATGTTGGGTAACGTTAGTCTAAAGAGTAAATTAAACATAGGAAGATATGCGTTAGCCCATCTAAAAGAAGTTGAGAAGTGGGGGATGTATCAATACGACTTAGTTTATTTGAATTAAAGTTTCAACAATTCAGTGTTTTATATACGGCGATTGGCCAACCACCTAACAGAAGTGACAATCTCTTCCTCCGAACTTTTTTCCATGACAAGGTTAGGGTCGGTTTTACGTCTTCGGCGATAAAATAAATCAGACCTTCACAGGCTAAGTGCTAGGCGACATCGAAGTTCCCTAGAAAGACTGTTGTTGGAATTTTGAGGGCTCCATCTACCCGTAACGATTGTTACAGATGTTCTAATGGCAACAGGAACCGTCGGTTTAACGTGCTTTCCGAGGCACGGAGGGGTCTCACTGTGTTAAGAATGGTCACCCATCCATAGACTGACCTGGCTAAGATGGCTTAACTTACAATGTGTTAACCTTCTCTTCTACCACCCTGCAACGAGGCCCTCATGAGCCCACAGTAGTAGCAATAAGACTTCCATTTTTTTTTCTAATGATAACTTAAAAGAAGTTTCACACATTATGCTTCTTTAATTGAATCCATCTTTCTGTAACATTTCTGTTTAGTTTTTTATGGAATCAAACGAAACTTTTTATAAGACAATAACAATGTAGATACATTAGTATAATAGTAGATATAAGATATATATAGCTATAGTTCATCAGCGCGATCTGGCTCAGGTTCATATCACTCGTGTAATGTGTGGAGCAAATATCTGGGCCTCAATTCTGCTATTTTAATATTGTATTAATAGAATGTTGATGGAATGTCGTCGGAATAGTTTTGCACTTTTCGTATTCTACTAACTATGTAAGACCAATGGCCTCCCGGTGACTTGTCACTGAACTGCCATTATGACAAATGTCGTCGCTGTCTTTGTAATAGTTTGTTAATTGATACATTTTAAATTTGTAAGGAAGTGATATATTTAATATTCCAGATATGGCAATGTCGTCGATATCACTATTGATGATCCATTGTCACTATATGGAAAGTCTATTGACATTGTAAATTTATGTTAGTAGAATACCGATATTTTGACCGATGTCAATGGCAACTTAGTGGTAAGTACTACAATACTACGAGTATTTAGCAAATTTGGTTTCACAAGGGGTCGCTCCACAACTGATGCCAGTGTTGAGCTAGTAAAATATATATTTGATGCTTGGGAGGATGCCCACGATTCTCTAAGTATCTTTGTCGATTTATCTAAGGCTTTTGGCTACATAAAAGACGATTTCAAACAATTTTATAATTTTTATGAAATAAAGAGAGTTTGAGTTTGTGGACCTGGAACTTGTGAAGTACTGTGGATTGTACTACATAAGCTCGGTTGCACTGATAAATTTATAAGACTGATACGACTGCTTGATGACAATTTGAGATATTGTATCTCAATGAAAAATGAGCAGTCGGATATCTTCCGAGTCACTTGCGGGGTAAAACAAGGATGTGTACTGGCACCCAGTCTATTTGCCTTGTATTTGGCAGTAGTTGTGAGCGACTCCTTGCAAAGCAATAGTAGGGGTCTATATATCCGTTTCCGAACTGACGGCAAATTTTTTAACCTAGCCCGACTGAAAGCATCTACCAAAGTTTCTTACGACTTTATCACCGAAGTCATGTACGCTGATGACCTGTGTCTTGTGGCGCAATCCCCAGTAGACTTACAGGAGTTGATGGAAAAACTTAATAAGTCTTGTCGTATATACGGTCTTAAAATTAATTTCACTAAGACTGAAGTCATGGCAGCAGATACAGTTAAACATGGCCAACTGGATTTACGGCTCGACGGTGCTGTCCTGAACTAGGTTGATAAATTCCAATACCTGGGTAGCACCTTAACATGTAAGGGTGCTTTCGACCCTTAATAGTAGTATTGGTGCTGCTTCGGCAGTGTTTGGCAGACTCAGGGAAAAGATATTCTGCTCACATGACCTCAAACTGCAAACAAAAGTCAATGTGTACATGGCCATCGTCTTACCAAACATTTTATATTCTTTAGAGACATGATGTGTATACAGGAGACATATTCGCGCATTAGACTGTTTCCATCTTAAGTGTCTTAGCGATATTTTGAACATAAAGTGGTCCGACCGTGTTAGGAACTTGGATGTTCTGCGGAGAGCTAATGTCTGCGGTATTGAAGCTTATTTAAGTCGTTGTCAGCTACTGTGGTCTGGACACGTTGTAAAGATGCCAGATGAGAGGGTGGCCAAGGGCATGTTCTATTCTGAACTTAAGGAAGACAAGCGGAAACAAGGCCGACAGTTCCTCAGATATAAAGATGTCCAGAAAAGTCAGATGAAGAGATGCAATATAGACCCCTCTCACGGGGAGAAATCTACTCTGTCCAGTCTCATTTGTGCTCATATTCGATTTCATTTCTAAAAACGTTTACGCCTAATGAACTAAGATAGATAAGATAACTGACACCGTTTTATTATTGTTGTTCCCTAAAACGCAATTTTAACTTTTAACAACCAGTAAGTAAACATCTGTCTGAAACAGTGACAACAATAATGTACATTATCGCAGGGTTAATGATCTTATTCTGATAGGCATTTAATAGTAAATTATGATGTCTACTTGACACAAACGAGAAAAACTTGATTCACTAATGATGGACACTATACATACTATATACACTTTGCTAATATCATAGAGGAATGTTTAGATGGTATGGTCCAGTAAAATATGCATATTATCATCCTAGTTAAACACTGAAAGAGGCATAATATTCTTTATGCCATTTAAGTAGTAAGCGGCAAGATTTTGCTATCAAACGAGCATTTTAAGAATTAAAGACAGAAAAATTATGTTTACACTAGCTTTGCATTACATTGTATGTTATTTAAAATATTAAGGTTCTATAATTATTTATTAACATGCTTTTAAATGAACTAAAAAATATTTCATCATCATCCTGATGATTTAATATTTTTTTCCGATGATTTTCGATTTTACGCAATCAACTCCTGCCAGCCATCCTGGGCAAATCGCTTGTAAGCATCAAAAAATTCCTTCGCATCATCGCCTACTGGTAGCATTTCTGAAAGACTGACTGACGTGGAGGATGTGATGGCGCAAGGGTGTCAACACAAGTTGCATCCCACACCAAAGGCTTACCTATCTTCCAGGTTAGCAACGACATACCATCCGATCTCTTCCCATCGTCTCGTACCAGACCATTGGGCTCACGTACAGCTGGAACGCCAGCGGCAACAAGAGACCGATAGACAATGTCGTTCATATTGGCATGACCAGATATACGGCCCGCGTTTCTGCTACAAGGAAGGCCATGATGTCCAAGACTGTCAACAGCCTCTCCGCATTGACAAATGTGCCTATGTTGGGCGATGAAAGTGCCTGAAGCCTGATTCCCATTCTCCCACAGCCAATAAAAGAGAGCGCTCAACAAGATTAGTTGATCTATTATTAGTTTTCTGTTTTGAAATACATAGTGGCGCGTCTTTTGTCTCTGATAGAATGGATTAACAGGTAATATTGTATTGGGACAAGCTACCTGCCAAGCACCTATGAGGTCAGTCTTCCAAGAAACTTCAGAATCAACCAGTGGGTTTATTACAATATTCCTAGTTAACTCTTCTGTGCCATGGCCTGAAGACAGAAATGCTGGCAATCTACAATTATGAGTGCTCCAAGACCACCCAAACGAATAAGCTTGAAGCCAGGCTCGATTGTTTAAAGCCGCATTCAAAACTTCGCTGAGGGTGTTTTCAATAATTATGACAACTTTTTCTGAAGGTAATAAATGTTTCCAAATTGGGTTTGAATGAAGTGCATATACAAATAGACAAAAACGGAGTATAGTAAAAGTCAAATGGACATTAATTTTAAGTAAACAATCTGAAAAATCACCAAAATTTGTAAATCCTAAATCAGTTGTAATTAATACCACTGTCGACGAGAATTCCGAGAGTTCTTACAACGTATAAAATTTAATTTCCAAATAAATGTTTGAATCGCCAGTGCAAAGTACAAGATAATCAATCAAAGCAATTTAGAGGAATTTTGTAATGACATCACCGAGTTTGAAGTTGTTGACGTTTTACGTAAAAAATGGCACAAGATAAAGATTAACGAGGAAAATATAAAGTTAAATGACTTAAGTGACCACATGATTAGGTTAACGTGTTCTTTTGTTGGTTTTCTAGTAAGTATTCGCTTTGAATATAGAGTAAATTTACTAGTTCATTCCTGCGGCATCACTATATATATTCTAAGTTATTATATATAATAATAATAAAAATAATAAATCTCACACACTCACACACGGCCGTCTGATCCCAAACTAGGCAGAGCCTGTACTATGGTAACCAGACCGCTGATAAACATACTTATATATTTCTAAATACATACATATTATAGATAAATTACACCCAGACACAGAACAAATGACCGTGCTCATCACACAATATTTGTCCTGGGTGGGAATCGAACCCACGACCTCCGGTTTAGCAGTCAGGGTCACTAACCACTAGACCAACAGGCCCGTCAATATATATATTCTAATTCATTATATATATTCTAAGTTATTTTGTAAATCTTGCCTCCATGTAAACCTCCATCAGTAGAAAAAGAAAAAAAACCCAGTCAAGTGCGAGTCAGATTCACCCACTGAGGGTTCCGTACAAAGTAGGTAGCTTTTGCTGAAATTCAGTGTCCAAAACCTTTTAATACTATATTTTTTATGATTTAATTAGAAATGAATGAAAATGAATAGAAGGAAAACTATGAACAAAATCTATATCAACCTGTCTGTCCAGCGTAGGCCAAAACCTCCTTTCTAAGGAGAGAGCAGTGGACTAATAAAGACTGTTGAATGTTGATGTAATTAAAGTTTTCGGATTCTGTGTTATAATTGTAGTATTATCACAGAATCCGAAAAGACGATGTTAATTGCAAAATTACATAGTTCTAGTCAACGGGAAGTATCCTAGAAATTTGGATTCTCTTGAGAGTGTCAAATTCGCGGTTTTTGCAGCATAAACAGCCGTATAATTTATTACGTTAACTAAGAAGTTTCATTTTTTCACAGCTTCAAGGGACTGTAGACTTGAGTATACCTTCTTTATTTTCCTGTGCGGGCAACCCTTCGGATATCACCCACCAGTGGGATGATTATGTCAGTCTCGAACCGACCAAAAACCGCACGCTGTCTCTTTTACCAGTAGCCGGGGAACCAGGTTTACCCTAGAAAGGAAATCCCTGGAACCCCAACGTACTTCGGGCCATCCATCGCGCGTAGATGACCCCGACCAGTGCGTGAGCCCCCATGTTCCCTTTGTGCTCCCGAACGCGCGCTCGCTGCCACTCTGGCCTGCTTGGAATCCTCCATAACGGGTCTTACGGCGTGCCCGACGCTCGGTTACCCAAGTCGTTCCTTCCACTCCTCTACGAGGACCTGGCGGAGTTAGGATTCTGGTCCTCGATTTTTCGAGTCTCAGGACTCCGACCCAACTCCCGCGCCTCCCTCCGCCAATGATACAGAGCCGCAAGGGCTCTCGCAAAGGAGACCGAGACGGCACCCCCTTATGACCATCAGGGTCATAAGTGCAGTCCTCGCAGTAGTGCGACGTTCCTGGCCCTTAGGGCTCCGAGACCTGGGTTTACCTGGTTTTAAATTTCAACTCGATGCCTTCACACGTTCCTAAGATAAAGGGTCTCGACAGACAGACGGACAACAAAGTGACCTGGTATAAGGGTTCCGTTTCTCCTTTTGAGGTACGGAACCCTAAAAAGAGCCATCGTTACCTCCTTCGCTCCGTCGCATCAGCTAGTTTTATTAGGTAGAGATTTCCTAGCTGATTATGCTAGCATAATATTTTACATCTATCACATGTTATCATGACAACGTGATAACGAAGTCATAACGTCATGACCTGCCTCTATATATTTATTTATAGTATATTTTGTTATGATGTATTTATGGAACACACAAAACAGGAAAAGGGATTACCAAAATCCTTGACAGAGTACGAAGAATTGTGCAGGAAAAATATTTTGCCGGATATAAAAAAATATTTTGGGGTATATCGCTATTACTCGAACTAGATAGATAAAAAGCAAATAGCTTGTAAAAAAATGAAATGTATTAATTGTAATTTAATTAAATATTCTTTTTCTTGAGAGTTCAGTACCAAAATTTCATTATCGTAGGTATGCAAAGAAAGTTGCGAATGTGCCTAGATCCTACTTAGTTCGTAATACACCACTGAGGGGTAAACAATGTCATTGAATGTGCCTAGATCCTACTTAGTTCGTAATACACCACTGAGGGGTAAACAATGTCATAGCCTTATCGTACCTGTACCGTAAAGTTTAAGTATCTATCAGCGTAGGTATCTATCTTCAATGATATCTTGTTTGTATATAATATCATTGTCTATCTTACAAACATTTGCAAACCGTTCCTGTGGTATTATACTCGTAAAATGACTTCATGTATTTGGATTCATGTGGATTATTTCACATTTCCGTTCTTTTTTAAATTCTATTTGAATCAAAATATCTGTTTTCTAGGGCAGACCCCACGTTTAAACACATTAGTGTGTCTGCATAGTAATACCACCGGTCGCTACCCTCAATCCCGTCACAAGCTCATTTATTTCTAATGAAGTGTTTAAAATATTCTGTAACGTAACGTACTTTCGATCGTGTGTAATTGTGCTCATACTAAATACCTACAAGTTTTTTTTATCATTGAAAACTTGTTTTAATTCGTACTCGTGACGTATTTATTTGTACACAGCTTCGATGAATTTATCTCAGCGTGGCTTAGTCGCTGTGTGGTTGTGTATTTAGACACTCGTATTTTAAATTGTGTTCAAACAATACGTCAATATATTATCACTGATAAGTTTTAATAAAAAATATTAATTCTAAACTTTTAAATAATAGAATTTGAAAATAGAAACTACTTTAAAATGTGTTCGTGGACGAGTGTCATAGTTTTATTTTTATTTACTAGTGCAACAATAGCAGGAAAAAGAAAAAGTGAACCAGAGTCCATAGGATTTCCTGAATCTGAAGAGGACCCTGCCCTTGCTAATAAAGATGTGAGTTTTAGTTTTTTTTTTTTAATGAATTTACGCATCTTATTTACACAAATTATTGGAACAATCTAGCAAAGATCTTAATAGAGGACAATTGAATGCCAAGCCAATAATAATCTCAAACCAACTGGCACAGTCAACCGAAAAAACTACGTTCGTGGTTCGTGGATCATAAAACTATGGGTTTGTCCTAGTCACGACTTCTATATTGCCGGTCATACCTACTCTGTACAAAAAAGTATCGTATATCATACTACGGACTACAGAAATAAAAATGTGAATTTGTTTCAAGTCATCTTAAAGGATTACGGATTTGAAAGAATGTCTCATTCGTATACTGACGGGTTCAGAATTCGAAGTGTAACCACTACTGTTTATCCCGTGGGTGTCGTAAGAGAAGACAAAAACAAAAGCACTGAAAAAAGAAGGAAAACTTATTTATAAGGAGAGGCCTATGTCCAGTAGTGGACTACTAAAGGCTGTTGATGATCATAATGATGAAGAATGTATCAGGTTTGATACAAATGTAAGATATTCACAACTTTAGTAAATAGTACCTAAGTGCAAGTTAGTGGCAAGTCGTTAATTAGGCTATTAATTAGATCCATGTAGATCCAGATATGTTTCCATCATACCGAAATCAAGACCTAAATATTAATATATTTATAACCTCCAAAACACACTAAATACTACAAGTAATTAAGATTAGCTCAATAATTATTCAAAACAGCGCATCAAGTTTTTTATTGTAGACTGTATCACTGTATGATTACTTTTTGTTATTAGGTTGCAAAAAGTATAAGAATAGGATAGTTCAATTTAAAATTAATGATGTGGAAAGAAAAAGGAAGGACGTTAAGAAACTTTTGTAGTATAAATCCAAGATAAAAAATAAACCAAATTAACGGCAAGAGAAAGATTAAAAAACAAATAAGTTATTGGTAGTAAGAGTAAAAAGTTAGATTTTTCATTTTCGAATGCGCTTTGCCTTATTAAAAATTGTGTGTTTATGAAGATACATTCAATACAATTGACCTTCCCGACAGATTGATCTTAGCCTCACAGGTCATGGGCCTGTAGTTATTGTAGATAATAATAACTGGTTATTTACAAAATAATTTTATGGAATCATTCAGTTCATTAACTTTTTATTAATATAAAAAACTAGCTGTAACCTGCCATGCTTCGCTGGGGCCCATTGTAGTAGCATTGATGAGAAATTAGGAACAAAACTGACGCAAAAATAAAAACACTCTGAAGCGGTCAGTGATATACTAACCGCTTCAGAGTGATATACTAACCGCTTCAAAGATTGTCAAAAGAACAATGGCAGAAACATATTTACCTAAAACTTAAGCGTTTAAAAAATCGAGTCAAAGTAAACTTAATCAAAAAATTTTCTATGATTTATCATTACACCACCATGTGTTGTATAAGTCTTATAAAAGATAAGATATTTTTGAAGATTGTATTTGACCTAAGTACGTAATGTCAGATTCGCCATCACATATAACTGACTAGGGATGCGTGGTGGCAATATTATATTATGGAACAATTTATCGATAATCGATTCTTATAGCTTTGGCTGAAATATTTACCGAAGGTTCACTATTATGATTATGAATTTGCTTCTGCCCACGTCTTCACTCGTACGGTAGAGTGACTGAATCAACATAATTAGAAATGATTTAAAATATTTTTGACTCTCTTTAAACGATTTTAAACACACTAAAGAAATAGAATATAGTTACGTTATTTTCCACTACACAGTGTGATGAGAAAAATACATTGTCATTGATAACGGCACATAAATAGACATACATCGATATTTTCAAATTGTCGATACGTCGTCGTTTAGTACATATCTCTTAATCTGTGGTTTAGATCCTGTCAAGTTCCGGACTCACCACGTTTGTTATTTTATTTTTGGTTAATTTAGTGTTAAACTCGAATAGATGTTATGCTTTTATTTTTTTTATTTCATATACTGTAATAATAATAAAAATAATATTTTCGGCTATCTGACACACAACGCCATCTAGTTTCAAACGTTTAATGTTTTATTAACAATATGTTAGTACTTAGCCTCGAAACATTTAAAATCCAATATCTTTTTTCCTAGACTTCTTTCGCAAGTAATTTTGATATGAGAATGATCAAGAATAAATTCTCAAGTGTTAAGGATTTTTTGATATTTAAACGCTAACATTTCAGTTCAAATAAAATTATGTATGGGGACCTGCCATTGTCCTTTGAGCTCAATCGGTTCAGAACTTTTGAGTTTTTGAAGCGTACACAAACCAACTTAGCATCTTAAATACTAAAAAATATATAAAGTTAAATAGATTTTAGGTATTTATTTTTTGTTTGTATCTTGAGCTTTTTAAATTACAGAAACAACTAAATAATGACATTAAATAAAGTAGTAGTACTTAGTTATATCCTTGATTTAAAATAAGGTCAAAAATTAGTGAGTCACGCTTTTAGAATGAACTTTTTATTGCTTTAAAAAAACGTTGGATTGAAACATGTTACACCGATTATAAATATTATTAATTTGATGATGATGATTATTAATATGAATGAAATAAATATTGGTAAGCTTCCATGATCTATGGGCGCTATTAAATTAATATCGTGTCTCGTGGAAAAACTTAAAATTTAACGTCTTCTGCAGTTCACAATGCAGTAGTAGTCAAAACTATCAACATTAATTATTTAACACATATTAGACACAGACTACACAAGTTAAAGAGCTATTTATAGAAAGTATTTTTCAATCTACTGCGCACCCAAATACAAATTAGTTGGCCCATAGTAGTTGTAGTAGTAGATACCATCAATCATCTAAATTGACATTAATGTAATAAAAAGAAAGCTGAAACATATATAATAGGAATATTTAATTTATTGATAGAAACCGCCTCATTGGGAATGAATTTTATACGCTTATCGATTAAGTATTTCATCGCATAGAAAGAGTGGCATACAGCTCATAAGAGAATTAAAACACTTCTATTAATCCTTGAGTTAAATTAAAAGTAATTGAACAGGAAAACCCCACCAGCGGCAAGATCAAATTCAACTCGTACACCGCTGGCACTTGTTTCGGCCATTTACGAAGCAAGAGTTCTGTCTCAATAAAGTTTTTTAATATCTCGTTTCTGATGATAAACAATTTCTAAAGTTTATTACAAAAATTGGAAACCAGTAAAAAATGTTTATCTTTATTCACATGTTTACACCATACGATATCATCGCTGTACATATTTGTTTTTCACCTTCTATTTTAGAATTGGTGACGATTTGCATCGTTATGTAACTTCAACAGAAATTTTGCGTATAAATTAAATACATATGTTAAAAAGAGAAAGTGTTCTATTAGGACTGTATTTGCTTTTTAAGGGATAAAATAGATACCCTATGTTCTGTTATATAAACGTGATATGTTTTTAGTTGTGTTTATTTTTATAATTTATGTAATCGTTTTTAATTGAGGAAGAAATTAGAAAAATACAAAATGGCAGTGGCATGGCAATATTCAAGACGAGTGGGAAAGTGGGAAGTCCCGTGGCCGTAAATAGCGCTACAATCGAGGTTGTGCAAGAATACGTCTACCTTGGCCAAACTATCACCTCCGGCTGTGCGGCGTATGAGAAACTACGTCCTATCTTCGAGTCACCGATACCTGTAATGATGAGACGTGGACACTCACTGTCGGACTGGTCCACAAGTTTAAAGTCTCTCTGCGTGCGAAACAGCGTGCGATGCTGGGTGTTTAAAAAAAATCGTAACGAAGTTATTCAACAGAGAACTAGAGTGACCGACATCGCACGGAGAATCAGTACGCTGAAGTGGAAGTGGACCATTCATGTCTCCAGACGGACTGATAGTCGCTGTAGCTGAAATGTGCTAGAGTAGAGACCGCGATTGGACAAATTTAGTGTAGGACCTGATGGACCAACGATTTGAAGAAAGTGGCTGGCAGCGGATGAACTAGGACTGCCCAAGACTTGCGTATCGTAGACGACGATAGGTTGATGAGAATACCTACTAATAACATTTTTTTTTAAATAAATAACTGACAAAATCATGAGCTGTTCGGTAGGGACCTTGTGGTACTCGTAAAATACAACCGGCAATATAGAATGAATTAGATCGAAAATCTTGAAAAAGTTGTAAAGACGTGAAACATTCCTGTTCCTCAGGAGACTTTCTTATATTTATGCAAAAAATTAAATAATAATTTATTAGTAAGCTTAGAAAATAAATGAAATAAAATTTATGAAAAAATATTATCAACGCAAAATATAAACAGACTAATAATTTGTCTGTTTTATTTTGTTTCTGATCTAAAATCACATTTATAATATTAGATATTAATGAAAGGATTTAATGAGCAATTTAAATTCATTAAGTAATTCTAAAACAGGTTCCTAATTCGGTAAGATTGTCCGACAACGACACAACACAACCGATTTCCATTTTTCTTTGCTTGTTTCTTTTTTTTTTATGCGGTTTTCTTAATGAAAATATGTGTATAAATATACATATATGTATAACATTTTTTTACAACTATAAACCTATTTTTCGTCGAATTGCAGTCGATTGTCACCTTCGTGTACCCATATTATATAACTGTACTCGTAATATCCTCACTGTCAAATTCAAGGGTATTACGACTTAATTAATTCATACTAATGTTTAAACTAAACACACAAAGTAGATACTTGTGTTACGTAACTACGTTTCATCCAAATATGTATATTCATTATGGTACTTAATATTTTTATTTGCTTTTAATAGGAATTCCTGTACAAAGGGTATGGGATTTCCCCAGTGCATTGGTCAACGTAATGTTCTCCTTATCTCAATTATCCGGTTTGTTTTGATAGCACTACACGATATAAAATAATATCCTGTGCCGCGTTTGTCTCCCATTCTGTCTAAACGCGATGAGCGAAAATACCAAGCGAATTTTCATACAATTTTGACGAATTCATAAAGTGGGTATCATGAGAAACGTTTAATTTGTGTTCATCTTTACTGAAGATTCGAATAAATAGTTGAGGGGTGGTCCAAGATTATCTCTTTCAATATAATTAAATCACACTGTATTGTTCACACAGTACCATAAAGTACCTACTACATAGGCTTCCTGTTGACCAATTTGAGTGGATTTTTATATAATGTTATGCTAGCACTTCACTTTGCAGATTTGAAATCGTTTTGCAAATATTATGTGTGCAAATAAGAAGTAGTAGTATAAGTATTAAGCTCATGTCTGCGATTCCATAGTAATTTAAACAAAAATGTGTTTATATAAATTTATATTAATAACTGGTTTTTGCCCGCGGCTCCGCCCACGTGTATGTCGGTTATCGCGGTAAAAAGAAGCCTATGTCCTTTCTCAATAATCACCTATCTCCATACCAAATTTCATCTGATTCGGTTCAGCGGTTATTGATTCCCCATATAAACTTCCTCCCCCTTTTAACCCCCTTAGATGGTTCCTTGGATTAAAACTATACTATGACCTTTCCCGGAATTTTAATTATATCTATACCAAATTTCATGTAAATCGGTTTAGCGGTTTAAGAAGTTACAGACAGACACGCTTTCGCATTAATAATATTACGTTCACGTGAAGGTATAACGCTAAATCCATATTTAGCTATTTTTTAGTCAAATCGGTCAATGTAAAAATAAGTCTTATGATATTTTTTCTATTCCAGGATCGTCAACCAGTTTACATTCCTGCTACCTGTCCCATAGGCGAGCTATTCTATCCTGGCGACCAGAAAGATGACTGGATTTGCGATTGCAGACCTGGTAATAAGAGTTATTTATTGAAATTTCATTAAGAATAAATTTATTTCTAAAGACTTTCAGAATAACGTACACTACATACTAGGGGTCAGAAAGCCTAAATCTAATGCCTGAGGTTATATTATAACCTCCTTTCTAAGGAGAGGCCTATGTCCAACAGTGGACTATTAGAGGCTGTCGATGATGATGGCACCTTACAATCCAAACAACTCGTATACCTTACTAACAGCGCCAATGATACAGTTAGACAAGTTGCTGAAGGTTTCTTTTATTTTGTTGAGAACCAAGAAATATTTTCTATTGACTCCCATTAGCCTAGTCATACTGATAGTTCGGACAGAAAAATTGAGTATTCCCGCCCAGGAGAAATGTTTGGGAGATGAGCGTGATCAAATGTCCTTTATCTGAGTGTATCTTTTGTAATAATATGTAATCAGTACTAAATATGTTAAGCATATATTTGTCAACAGTCTGGTTACAATAGTACAGGTTCTGTCTAGTTACGCTAGTATATCAATTTATACATATTTATTTCAGCATACCTGTATCATCCAAAGACGGACCAATGCTGGCCAGCATACAGGACGGGACCTTGCAGCAATGGTTACTATCTCGTCTTGGGCCCAGACTCTGCCATTCCGTACTGTGAAAAAAATCCTTGCATCATTGACAGTATGGTTATGTATAGCGGCAAATGTGAGTTATTGAACACAATATCTCCCTGCAACAGTGTGTGGCCAGACTTCGAAGTGTTGACAGTGAACTCTACTACTTTGACCATAACGTGCGAGAAGCTTATCTTCGAGACAAGATTCAAGGAAAAAGAGACAATCTTTCCAAAGTGTCCAACTGGCGGGAAAAGAAGTATTAACGGCAAATGTAGGCCTAACTCTACACAATAGTTAAAATAGTTTGTTACGTTTTATGCCCATAAATATAGCATAATTTTATAATATTCATTTTAATTTTCTAATATCTATATAAAATAATAGAACTTTAATTATTAATATAATTTGGTCCTGTTTTTTTTGAAACATCTAATGTGGAGGGTCAGGCGGGCGGCGTCATGCCAACACACGGTATGTCGGCGTGACGCCGCCACGGCATGCGGTGTGGCAATGCGTCGCCATTTTCCTTTCACAAGCCATCCTTTTATACTCATTATTTCTAAAAACAATTTCGATGTTTCACATCTGCCAGATGTTCCTCAACTTCTTAATTTTTTCTTCATAATTGTTCTTACTTAATACGTATACCAAAATCAAAATCGATCTAAGTGGCGTGCAATAGGAGAGGCCTATGTCCAGCAGTGGACTGCGATAGGCTGATGATGATGATGATGAATACGTATACCTCCAATAAAAAAGGGCTACGAGGAAGAGAATTCCTCGTAGCCTTTTTTAAGCGAATTACAATAAAATTGACATATATAAATGTTTATATAAAGAAAAAGTGTTGGTATATAGCTCTACTGGTTAAGTATACATAGGTATATAAGTTGATCTCTTATGGTACGGACAGTCTATACACCCCCTTACCATTTAGGGGTATGAAAAATAGATGATGGCCGATTCTCAGACCTACCCGATATGCACACAAAATTTCTAAAAATCGGTCCATCCGTTTCGGAAGAGATTGGTAACAAACATCGCGACACGAGAATTTTATATATTATACTATCTGTAAAGTAAATATTAATTCCATTACAAGAAAATAAGAGAATCATTTAAATAATCAAGCATCAACTTGTATATGTATACATTTGTATAAAATATTAAGGTTCATGTTAGTATATGACTGAGATGAAAGGGATTTGGTTCAATAAGAAAATTTGTAAAAATAAATAAGTACTGCCCTCGCAAAAGCAAACTGATTAGGCACTTTTGAAAATAATATTAAAATTGTTATAGTAGTTTCAAACAAGTGAATCAATACCTTCTCCCATAATTAAGAAAGCAATATCCCCTAAAAGTTTACTCAACCTTGCACAGTATGGCACGATGCCGGTAGGCTATAGCAACGCTAGGGCGTCCTTTGTGTAGTCATGGCGACTCCGCCGAACGTGTGCCACACACTATGTCTCTGCCATCGGCGTTTATTTACCAATTACTACAATGGACAGCCTCATGGCGGTCTGCACGCACCTTTATCGACGAACTTCATGATAAAATCAGTAATCAAATATTATTCAAGTTCATAATAGCTCCAGGTTTAATGGCAGTGAGCTAGTAGTAGAAATAGTGCTTCGGTAGGTTAAGTTTGATTGACGGCTCGGTGGAAAGTTTAATACATTTTACGAATGAAAAGTGCAGTTCAGCGAAATATATCACATAAAGAAACATGCTGCAGGTGAAATGTGGTAAGTTGTTGTTTAATTAATATCTCATGAAGGTTGCATGGTTTAGTTAAAATTTTGTAGGCAAGGAAAAGTAAGAAATTTGAAATAGAAAGGTTTTTAACAAAATTGTCCATAGCTACTTGAAAAGAAAGCTTCATTGTTAAATCAAGTCGAGTTAAAAGTAACTGAGTATGTTTTGTTTCTAGTTTGTTCTGAATACAAACAAAAATGTTTTGCATGACGTATTAATTTATCTACTTACATATTTCATAATGTTGTTACTTTTCCGTGGCCGATATGTTCATTGAACACTAAAATGTTGAAATACTCAAACTCAAACTCAAACTTTCTTTATTTCATAAAATTTTCACACTAAAATGTTGAAATAATATCATAATTACAATCTTGACTGTTTATTTACATATAACTGACGACCTTATTACACCAATATAGTCTGAACAGCGAAATTATCGGAAAGGGTTAACTGAAAAACGTATGAAGTTAATTTTAAGTGACAATGAACACAAATATGTTTTATCTCCTATGGTTCATTGTTCTGTATTTCCTACTTATGCGAATTCATATACACCAGTGATATATTATTATTGTATAGTATAGTGAGTTATATTATTACTCGTATTCGAATTGTAAGACTAAACAATTCATTTTGATATTAACTTTAACATAAATTTCAAATTAGTCCTTATTTACTGCGCAAAGTAAACTTCTTCGGCCATATTGGAAAGTAATAGTTGGACACCAGTTTCCAAAACATAATTATTTCTCTTTTATCGAAACCTGGTTGCCAATAAAGAAAAATAATTCTGAGCCCAAACACCCCCCTTCCCTTCCCCCGTGATACGCTGACCAGTCATCAGCCAGACCATCAGCTGACCCGTCTGCTACTTGATTCAAGAGGAAGATTTTTATGTATAATACGTGCATATTAAAGAAGAGAAAATACGAGAGTTTCAAAGATTTGTAATAAAATAATAATACGAGTAATATAAATTGAGTAACTAAGACTCAAAGATGTTATTAACAATTTGGACTTACAGCTAATATAGCTATAAGTCCAAATTGTTAATAACATCTTTGAGTACGTTTTATAACTTAAGGGTAACAAGCGCGGCTGAAACCCTGACGCATGCGATGTCATAAAAACATTTTTTGCGATTATATTGTAAACGCTGGCTAAACCTTATGAGATAGATAAAAATAATGTAAAACCGAATTGCATATTTTAAAAAGATCTATAAAAAAATCTGCAGTAGTATATGACTAACTACTAAGAATAACCCATAGTTATATCTTTTAAATTTTACAAAAAAAGATATGGGTATAGGAAGCTATTTTAACCAATACAGTTCTTATCCAATTAAATACATTATGTGTGTACAGTGGATCAAATTGCCCTTTACAGCAAATTCAATTCTTTACAGCAAATTCAATTTCTTAGTTATCAGAGATTTAAAATGCGGGCGCAGAGCGGCCGTCGGGCCATGTGTCCGTCCTGACCTCTGGAGCTTGCAAGGAGAGGCTCTACAGTTTCGGCTACCGGTCCAACTATACTCCTGCTACTACCTTTCAACCAACTTCGATCCCGGGATAGACAACGTACTTGTGAAGCACACAACCGCAGGTGGCAAAACTCACCCGGCTACAGACAGTCCCAACTGGTGCTGATTGCAGTCTTAACACGACTTACTTGCATATTGATCAGTATTAGCAGACTAGACATCCGAATAGTTTTAGGAACTATAACAGGACACCTAGCCCTGAACCGACAACCATTCACCATTAATGGATCGGATAGTGCTCTTTACAGACAATGTCTGAAAGCAGAATAAACGGCCGCCCACGTAATCCTGGAATGCGAGGACTCCCTCGCATGGGCTAGTATCATACCTGATACAGAATCGCTTCTAGAAGCCTGTGAACGGCCCCCGGAACTTAATGCGATTCTGGAAGGAACTTGGTTGGCTCACCTAGACAACCTCTACGCATAAAGGACAATTTTTGAGTCTATATGCGGTAACCGTAGTCCACAATTGGTTGTGGCCGCTGTCATCCGGGTATTGATAACCAATACCCGGATGGCAGCAGCCGGCAGGAGCATGTCTATAAATATTGTTTACAAGCTTTTGCCCGCGGCTTTTAACCATTGGTGGAAGAATATTTAAAATCGGTTTAGTGGTTTAGGCGTGACAGCGCAACAAACACGCAAACATGTAAAATATGAGTATGGAGTATGCATAAAGATATCCTGTAGTAAAGTTTAATCATAAAAAATGTAAGAGTGGTTTTCATCTTCCTGCAAGTTTAAGTGAAAAAAGCTGGTATCAAGTTGGAACCGTAAAATCATGTTATAGTGTTACTAGGGACTGGCTTGTCCCGTCCGCCCTTTTCACTAACCCCATGTTGAGTCATCGTGCAGTAGTCAGTCAATGTTTGGACGTGTTACTTAAAAGCTGCAATGAATTTATTTTCTACCAGCGACCCGCCCCGGGTAACCTCACACATTTTACCTACTACTGATATCAAACTAACCAGACGGCTGACAAACATACTTATATATTTCTAAATGAAGGTACTCGCCACACAATTATTTGTTCTGGGTGAGAAACGAACCCATGAGAGATTAGCTTATTTAAACAAACAAAAAAGCTAAAGGGTTATACTCTCAAGTTTATTGCAATAGTACTCGTATAGATAACAATATGGATTTTCCGCTCTAAGTTTTTTTTGTTAAAACATTGACAAGTAACAATTTGTATATTGCGTTAATGTTTCCAACGCGATTTAACAATTTACAGCATATTTTCATAGTTTAATTAGTTAAGTATACGACCCACACGATGGTAGACGGTTAACGCTGCCTGTAAAATGTAAACACTTGCAATACCAATGATGTCAATGGTATTTCCTTCTTTCCTGAGGTCTGGTGACCCTGCACATTAGAAGAAAAGGACAGTGTTACTAAATGTACTGCGGTCAAATGACCACATAAATATGGGGTTGAGGTATTGCTGTCTTAACAGTGCAGAGCAGTCAGGCGGATGGTGTGGTATACTTTGGTATATTTGATATTGATACATATTTGGAAAACTCTTTGGTGTGTGACCCTAGGTGCTTGGTCAGTACGTGGTCACACCCTTACACTTTAGAAAGATTAGTTCGATCTTCAAGCAGAAAAAAAGCTTTTTTATGGTATAGGATGGCAAAAGAGATGACGGGTCACCTGACATCTGCAATTTAAGAGTCACAAATGCGTTCCCGCCCTTTCAGTCCCTACCACTAGTATAATTGGAGGGGAGAGTTTGGGCGCCGTCACTCCCTAGATGAAAAGCAAAAAAGTGCTTAGGAAAGGTATTACTTGCCAATAACAATATGGACCCCTTTTCAATGACCTCATTTAGGATTTCTAAGTTTTTAACTTTATTGCTGCAGAAGCTGTCTCTTGAATAATAACTAATTTAAAAAAAAAAATTAAATTAAATTAAAAAAATTAAAGTAATTTGAAAAAAAGCGTTGGGTGCCTGTTGTCAATAGTAAAAAGCACCC